AGTCAGCCAGAGCTCTCCAGCTTGGTAATCCTTTATAACATTACTAACCGAGCAAGTGATGTCGAGAGTGTCACCTTCATAGACATTATCCTGAGGGGAAATCTTCAGGACTGGTTTGATGGAAAGTTCTGTGGAGGAAAACCCATGAATCATGAGGTGTGACGAGGCTTGGAAGAATCGACCGATGAACAAATCTAACGTACCTTCAACGGTAAGCGTGAGTGTGTTGCTTTGTTGGGACTTGAATGAGTTTGGCATGACGAAGACCAAGTAGGAGCAGCAAATATCGTGGTTCCCAACGCCTTTAGGGACGAACGTCATTTCGTTTGTCCCTAAAGGCATTTCGACTTCCTTGGAATTATCATGGAAGTAGAACAAAAGGGAACCCGTCTCTCCTGGTGCTAAACATGTGGCTGTTACTGATTCCCCCTCAGTGATATTTGCTTTGTTTAAGCGGAGAATGGGCGTTGACATGCCTGGAAAGCAGCGAACATAGAAGAACATGAGTGAGCAAACCAAAGACTAAAACAGAACCTTTAAATAACTTCAAATCAAACCACAGTTAGCTTTTTCTTCAGTGCAAAGTGTGGGGAATAAATATTGAATGTTTTTCTCAGTGGCTAAAGGGGCGACTGACCTGAAATCTACATCATGTCTGTAACATCCCATGTAATCCAAACACACTAAGAATTCAAAACAAATTCTACTATTATAGATAGTTGGAATGAAATAAGCATCGAAGCATGTATGTGAACAGATGAGAAATGCTGCAAAACACACAGAAAACCCCCCCCAAAAAAAGCAAATGTCTCTCAGCATTTGGGAAAATATCCTGCTCCTTATCAGAGCTAATTATTATTAACTGGTTCAGTCTTAATTCATGGGAAATGAAAGCAATCTCATCATCAACATATTGCACAAATCTCATTAATTTGAGCAATACTACTAAAAACACAATAGTCATATTTCATGTCAATATGACTATTATAGATTCAATCACTGAGAAAAACTGATTTCTCCCTTTTCACCGATGTATTTATTGTCCTAATGTCTTATTTTCTCAAACATAGAGTTAAACATCCTCAGATGAAAACAGACTCACCTGTCACTGTGAGCGTTGCAGTTTCACTGGCCTTCACCTCCCCCATGATGCTTATCTTGCACTTGTACTTGCCATTGTTGGAGATTCTGGCCTGAGGCAGGCGGTAGAGCAAATCCTCAGAGGAGCTGGTTGTCTTGTTGTAGATCACACTGCCCCCTTTGTATATGGTGTACACACGATTCAGTCCCTCCGTCCCGAAGCCGAGAACCTCGGCCTTGCATCTCAAAACCACGTCGGTGTCTCTATGCACAGCAGCACTGGGCTCGATGGACAGGTCCACGTTTGTTATTTTTAAAGCTGGGGTGTGACATAGGCAACAATGATCAGAATTTAATTGACAATAATAATAGCTTTCAAGACGTCTAATTAAAAGTGGGGAGCTCACGCTGATAACACTGATTTTGAGGAATTAAATGGCTTCCGGGAGGCATCAGGGCTGTATCGCAGACATGGCAGTGGTTAATGCTTTACGCCGATCTGTCTAAATCGCATCCCGTTTCTGCCGAGGTTTTCAGGGGCTCAACCCTATGAAAGAGCCGATCATTCATTTTGGGAGGAAAATGGTCAGGATTGGACAGGGGACAGGGGGACAGGGACAGGGACAGGGGGCAGCTCTGGAGTGGGTCAGCAGCTCTTTTTGGGAGTCAACATCACAGCAAGGCAGAAAACATTTCTGCTGAGAGGTTTATACACCCTCTTCATCGGCACGAATCATATTCATTTTGAGCTTTTATGGAAAATAAAGAACCGTGTTTTTTTTTCAGAGAGGAGTAACTATAAGACATCAACTGAAACAAGTAATTAGAATAAATTAGAATATGGCAGACTTTTGATGGACTTTTTGAACATTACTGTTATGCAGGTTTTCCTTGTATTTCTTCATAAGGCCCACATTTCTGATTTAATAATCTAATCTTAAAAGTCAGCAAAACATTTTCATGAGTTGTAAGCAGTGAATCATCATTTTTTACATAAATGAAAGTTTGAAAACAGTCTGTATAAATAAACTACATGATGTGTTTAACTTGTGAGATGAGTTACTGAAATACATGAACTTTTCATTAATATTCTAGTTTATTGACATGACTCCACCTATGGACCCACTAATAAATGGTTAGATTCCTCTAAGTCAGTTTCCAGGAAACCACATATATGAGCATCTGGATATTGGATCACTTTATTGTGAGAGTTTATTTGATCAATTCACAAACAGCTTTGAGCATGGCCTCTTCTGACCATGAAAGCTTTTGCTCTGAAGGCATTTGACTTGTCCATTTGGGCCTCTGCAAATTTCAATCAGGTCTGATGGTGTCAGTTTTATTGACATGGTTTGGTTCATGGGTAGCACAACCTCAATCCATGACAATAAAAATGTTACTTTTAGTTGATGGATGCTCAAGCATACAGTGATAACACCAAGCATACGTCAACACTGAATTTTGAATGGATAAAAACCACCAAGAAAAGGGAAATGGGCTTAAAACTGCGTTTTGTACCAGAAAACCAATCACTTTAAATAAACTTAATACTCTGCAGAAAATTCACAACAAACAGGAAAAAAATTGGTCTGATTTTGCATCTTTCCTCGAATGATTGCAGCTATCAAACTCCACGTGCAACACAGAGAGAAAATGAGCACCTCATCTTAACCCGTTTTCATTCTGACATCAGCAACAAGCCTGATCCTGACTCATCTTCAAGGGGAGACATAAAGCATTCGGAAATGAGGGTAGTTTGAGGCGGAAAGGCTCTGCATGCCGACGTCAGGCTAGCATAGTGTGACGTCGGCTCATACGAGCTGAGTGGCTGCTGCTGTGACTCAGACAGCGGTGGTAAACAAACCTTGAGGAGGCAGGAAAAGCACTTTGTTTAACAAACGGGTCGCTCAGGGGACTTAGCACCAATGATTCTGGCCCACACCCAGCATCATTCAGCAGGAGCTGGCAGGGCTGATGATGGGAAACAAGGCACGCGCAGGACTCAGATTTGCTTCTGGGTTTCCCGAACAGAACCTGAATGACAGACCAGCTTAAACTATACAGCTCTGGAAAAAAATCGAGAGACCACTGCACTGAACCCCATTGAAAACCTCCTGATTATTCAACCAAATATTGACTTTTGAACTCTTCTTGAGTTAAAATACTAGTATTGTTGTTTCTAAATGAGTACAAACGTGTTCTTGAAATTGCTTGAGGTCTGAAGGCGCTGCATCTTTTTTAATGTTATTTTGACCATTGCTGGTTTTCTACAAATAAATACAAACTTTTTGCTTGGCATTTCAGAGTTTATGGAATAAAAGAACAATGTTCATGTTACTCAAACATATACCTATGAAAAGTAAAATCAGAGCGACTCATCATTGAGTTGCTTCTTAATTTTTTCCAAAAATTTAATAAAATTATTAAATTTTTCTTCTGGTATTAAGACTTTATTCTTTTTAAAATATTGTAGTATTTTATTATTTATGTTGTCCTAATTTATATATTCATTTTTAACTTCTTAGGTTTGTGTGACACTGCTGCAAAATAAATGATTTCAACTTAACCATTTAGTAAGTCCAGACATAATTTTTTTTTTGTGGGAATTTAGTTGCTCTGCTTTGAAAAGTATATCATTTGCATTACAAGAAATCATATGAAAGAAAATCTGAACACCAGCAGTGCAAATCCAGCCTTGAGAAACCTTCCCTCCATCCTGAACCCGCTGCCTTGCAGATCTGTGTCTGTGGCTGACATGAACGGATTCCCACCTCCCACTGCCCAGCAGCTCCAGAGGCGTGTAACTATCCTCACCAACCAGTTCCCAACCCAACTTTTCCACCACAGCAGACACCAGTGACTCTGATAACCGCCATGAGTGTTTCCACTGAACAAACAGGAGCCTCACTGTTCCCACATAACATCTTATTACCTCCAAGATCAACGCCAAAATATTTCTTCACTCAAGATAAAACAGCCCGTCCTGGAGATATCAGTCTGTTTATACAACAACTTTAGTCCAAATATGATTTGATTCAGAATATGCTTACCTGCATTCAAAGTTGCCCCTGAATGGAAGAATTGGAGAAAAGAAAGGAATCACCAGGTTAGTGAAGATCAGATCAACCATCTCCTGTTTGAGAGGGAGAGAAGTGGGTGAGAAGTCTTACAGCTGAACAGGAGCGTGGAGGTGAACAGTGGCAGGAGGCCCATCCTGTCTGAGGAACGCCGAGGCTCCTGGTGGTCGTGGCGGTCCTTTAAGAGAAAGACACTGGATCTGCCTGACCGGCGCCGCACGTTAATGTGAGGATGGACCAGGATCTGGTGGGTGGGAGCAGAGGTGGTGCTTTACCTCACCCAGTGGCGGCGGTTATCAGGCCAAGCAGCCATCGACTTGGCTTAATTTGACAGGAAGCGAGTGTTGTTTCCTCAGGATGTTCGCGCCGCCCGACTCTTTTGCTGTTGTGGAATGTGTTCCACATACCGTGTGTGTGTGTATGTGTGTGAGAGAAATGGTGATGAGAATAATGCAGGACTGCTTGGGCATGTAGTGTTCAGAACTTTCACCGTGCATCCATGTGTCAGATTTATTTGACCAACATTTACAGGTAGGACTGTGACCCAGACAGGCCCACCTGCTCCATTTTTATTCATAGAAGAAGATCCACCAGGTTAAAATGCTAAATGCTAGTTGTACTAACAAATCTGCTGCTAAAACATACAAGAAATCTCACAAAGTCCAAAAAGTGATCAGGATCTTCACTCAACCAGCAGCCCGACCACCAGAGGTGGGCAGGCTACCCAAAAACTGCACTCAAATAAGAGTAGGAATACTTCAGCATATAAGAATTTAAAGTTCCAGAGGTTTAGTTTGTTTTATAAGCAAATCATAATCAGACATTAATCAGAAAGAGATAAGGTCAGGTGTTGTATTTGGTTTATTTCATTGATTTCATCTCTCGTTTTTATAAACCACAGTCAGGGAAGGCGTCTACAGTCACAGAGACAAACCTGATTGTTTTCACTTTTCTTTTCTTACTACTGTGTTAAAGTCTCATTGCCCCCCCCGCCAAAGTCTAAAATCTTAAAATAACTTTAGTTGAATGTGGTTCTGGTCTGTTGATGCCTGCTGAAGTGAACCAAACGGCGCTGAAGCGGTACGGTGCTGTGGTGGTCCGGACCACTGGCTCCAACTGGTGACTTTTACACGGAAAAGCAAACTTGCAGTCATGTAACGCAGGAGGAGCGGGGTAGCATCTGAGAGGGTGAGGCCGAGGCAAATATGAGCAAAAGGAAGCACTTAAAAACATAAATTACATGAAGAGAAACCGAAAAGTAACACTTAAAAAGAAGAAGCTAAGAAGGCAAAGCTGCGGCCCGGATGAAGAGGCACGTTGTTGGTGATAGGGCACGCGCAGAAAAAAACGAACGTCAGAGCTGTACCCTAAATGCACCACAGTGACACTCATCTCAAAAACACGTGAGTAACCTGAGCATCCTCACTGCTCTGAGGTCAGCTGTTTGAGGTGGGTTCTTTAGATTCCTGAGTGAAATCAAGGGTGCCGACTAAAGCACAGTGATGTTGAGATGAGCAGGCAGCTAACACCAAACACACCGCTAGTTCTCCAACACATGATCGTAGCAAAGGAAGCTGGAGCTGAAATTAATAAATAAGTTAATCTAAAATCCTGCCAGAGTGATTTTTCAGGACTGAAGCAAAGCTTGTTTTTAACTCTCTTCGGATGGTATTTGTTTATGTTGATCAGCAGTTTAGGCCGTGACAGGAAAAAAACATCTGATGTCCTTCCTGTCTCTGACGGAAGCAGAAGAACCTGCCTGATGCTCTGCTGGTGAAAACGATCAAACTAAAACTGAGTGTTTGTATTGCCGAGCTGCAGCAGGCGCAGCCTTATTGCTTTGGGTAAGTGAGCCAATCAGCCTCCAGGTGGGTGCCGCTGTGTTTTCTGGGAGGAGTTCCAGGTTTTTACTCGATTAAAAAAACAAAAACCCAGAACAGATAAATTAGTTTTAGTGCTGCAATAAAGAGGTGGAGGATTCTGACTATGTTTGGCACACCGGGGGCCCCACTGTGGGGCTCATCTGTGCTACAACAACACACACACACACAGAAAAATAATCCCTCTTAACGTCAGTCACACAACAACAAGCGCAGGCCATCGCTTCTGGTATTAAAGCTGCTTCTCTTTGCAGTGAATCTGCAACACATAAACACAAGGGTCCAGCGCAGGGAGGTGTGTGTGCGTGTGTTTGTGTGGGAAGGGAGGGGCTCAGTCCATGCGTCCTGTTTCGGTGTGTCTGTCTGAAGAGTGTGTGACCCCACTGTGGGCTTGTGTGGGTGTCGGGTCACAGTTCATTCAGGTAGTGATGCTCGCTGTGCAGCCAGGAGGAGCTGCAGGCATCCAGGGGTAGAACTTCTTTAAAATATAACCTCTTCTTCTTCTGCTAATTATATACACACAAACTCCTCAGCACAGCCAAGTCTACAATCATTAGCCTCATAATAAGAATATGAATGAACAATCATAATAATAACAATAATTATATATATATATATGTATGTATATATGTATAGAGACGTAGCATTGAGTTTTTGAGAGCAGCCATCACTTGAACATTCACGGTGGTGAATTGCATATGTACAAAAAAAAAACAAACAAACAAAAAAACCCAAAAGAAAACATCCTTTCCATCCCAGTGCGCGAGGCTCAGGGTCAGAAGGTGGAGGTCGGGGGAGAGGAGCTGTGCTGGTGTGTTATCTGAGCCTCTTCTCTGCTGAGTAGATGGACATGTAGTAGTCGTTGCTTCCCACAGCCAAGTGGGGCTGAAAGGAGACAGAAAGTAAGTTTCTTCATTTTACGTGATGTGCATGAGCAAATAGCAGAAAACAGCCTCGGAAGAAATTCAGAACTGCAAAACCCTCCCACCCCCCAAAAAATGTAATTTAATCGGATTCTAATTCATTAATTTTGTAAAGCCTGGAATAACCAGTGAGTCATTAGCTTGCAGTCAGGTTCAAAAACACTGAATGGAATAATTGTAAAACAGAAGGTAAACTTCAAACAGGGAACCTACACAAATTTCATTTAAAATTTGCATTATTACATCTTCAGATCAATTTGAGATAAGTGTAAGAATAATTTAGAGCAACATATGCTGTAAGCACATGCAGCAATAAAAATCCAAAGAGCAAAAATCCTCATTAAAAGACAGTTTTAGGGTCACTTGTGGAATTAAGTTTTTTAATAAGAAGTTCAGCATTAAAGGTTACAAAGAAGATGAGCCACAAAATTGGTTGTTTCAGATACATGATGGTGCAGCACAGAAAAGCTCCTGGTTCATGTTTTACCCAGTGTGGATGGAAAGCTAAACAGCTGATAGCACCGATCCTCTGTCCCATGAAGCCGTCGTAGTACTTTATATTGCTGATCACGTCGCCGTTGGCGTTGTAGACGGCTATGAACTGGTTCATCGATCCACTGCAGCCGCAACAGCAGAACAAACAAGGTTCTCAGGTTCAAAAGTGAATCACGGAATGGATGGTAATAAAGCCTTTTTTTAAGGGTGAACTTGTGTGACCGTATGAGGAAACTCACCAGGCGAAGAGGTTGGCCTGTGGGTGGATGTCCAAGGCCGTTAATCCCTTTACAGTCTGCAGCACATTTATCGAGTCTGGGGTCCGCGGTTCAAAGAACCGAACGTCTCCGTTGACACTGGGACAAGACGTGAGCGTCAGAACGGCCAAGGCAAACAGGGCTGAATAAAAGCCTCAGGGTTGTAGAGAGTTTACCTGACACTAATAATGTTTCCATCCGTCTCCTTCTGCAGGTGAGCTTTAACCACCCAGGCTCCGTGTTCCCTGTAGGTCATCACTCGACTGTGGAAACACCACAAGCTAACATTAGCCTGTATACCGTCTCACCAAAGAAAAAGTTGAAAAGTCAGGAAGAACACAGAAAGCTCACAACCTGACAGAAATTATGATGAAAACATTTTTTCCCTGAGGGATGCAAAGTTTATCTGAAGCAGACAGAAACTGATTCTTTTGCAAAAGTCACAAATCTTTTTCAAGTTTTTTTTTATGTTACAACCACAACCTTTAAATGATTTTTTGGTTATTTTTGTGTTATACCTACACAAAGTACTGTATACTGTGAAGAGAGCATAAATGATAAATGAATTACAATACTTTTAGAACCTCTTCTTCACACAAATACAGCTGCAAGTCTTTTGGGGGTATGCCTGTACAAGCTTTTTTGCTAAAGTTCAGTGAGAGCAGCGGTCAACATCAGTTTTCTGTCACCAAAAGATTTAGGTCTGGTCTTTGACTAGGCTTTGAGCTAAATCAGTAGGTTGCAGCTCAGGTTCAGCTCAGCAGTGAATGGACTGGTGTGCAGTAGTTGTGTCATTCTCTTTCCACGTTCAAATGATGAACTGAATAAACTCTGGGAGACGTTCTGAGCTTAGGATGGCTTCTGAAGATAACTGGTTGTCTTGCATCGTCTTCAATTAGGCACAGCTTTGTATTTGACTACCTTTACTTTTGGTCTATCTCTGTGAAGTGCTGCATGCTTCAAAGAATAGGGGGTTATGAAAAGCTCAAGTATTAAGATAAAAACTGAGCACCAAGCAATAAAGGGTTTCTTAATAATGCATCATGCAATACAGACAGGACACCACAGGATGGCAGTATGGCTTCAGGACTAAGGTAGCAAACTTCCAACTTCCTGTGAGCATGCATTTTGAAATGTGCCTCATCACGGCTTTGGGGCTGTGCAGAATCCAAATGACCTAATCCATGCAGTAAAACAAGTTATATGAATTATAGATTGCACAGGCACAGCATCTGAAATGTCTGACAATAGATACAGAGACCCCCATTAACTCAACAACGATAACAAAATGCTGACAAAAGCAAACACTAAACTAGTGAAACGACACCTCAAAGCTGAATTTTAGATTTCCCCCATTTCCCTTCAGCGCATCTCCTGCATGACCCAGGTGAGCTCGACTTCCGGCTCTCGCAGAGGGAGAAACAAAACTTCTGAGGTGTAGCTGCAGGCCTGAGGGGAACCATTACATTTACTTTCTTTCTTTAAAGATTTATGTGCCTTTCCACATTTTAGATGCTTTTTTTGTAGCCCACAGGGGCTGAAATTAAAATAATGTTTTACCAGCTGAGGGGGAGACACAGTGCCACCAAGGTCCATTAAAAGAAGTGACAACCCCAGAGGCAGATTTACAGCACTTTAAGTACAATAAATACAGATTAGAGAATAATGTAGGACTCAGAGGGAGTTAGTGTGGGCAAAAACCAGCACAACTCCTCTGCCTTAAATTAAAACAAAAGAGAGACAGTTTAAATGAAACAGGGCAGGGAAATTAAATCATAAATCCAAATAGAGCTTAATTGGACGAGGAAACAATGAGGTGAGAAGATGTGTGCAGGATCTGGTGAGAGGGTCTTTACCATTCGCTGGGGCCCATCCTGCGATCGAAGACGCGCACCGATCCGTCACCCAGACCCGCAACGATGAGCGAGCGCTGGGAGTCGCAGGACAGGCTGGTCACACAGCTGTCGGCTCCAGTCGGGATGTCCTGATTCACACACGCACACCCCCACACAAACGCACGCACACCCCCACACACACGCACACACACACACACACACACACACGCACAGCAACCCTTTAGTCGAGGTTTCAACAGGTAGCACTAATTTCACACTGACCTCTCCCTATGAATTCATCAATCATGCCCGACTCATTTGAAGTTGGACTCGATGTGCAGCCACAGGTCATTTGTACTTGTATGAAGTCCATCCATCATGACAATAATTAGCACGCTGAGGTTCATTAAATTAGTTAAATAAATGAAGCTAAACTAACATAGCGACTCTACATCAAGGTTGATTAGTTCACAGGCAGCGCTCCGATCAGTAAACTTTTAGTCAAAGTTTCCCTGTTTTCCCTCCAGACTAATTTAAAATCTCATTTTGAACTATAAAAACAAACTTTCACTTTGAGGTTATGGCAGATGTTTATAGAGGCCAGGAAACAAATTGCAATGTAACAATGTAAAATGACATGAGGAAGAAGAAGAAGAATGCAGGACAGAAGAAAAGATGGAAGGAGAGAAGAAAAGGATGGAAATGATCAAAAATGGAAGGAGACAAAAAAGAACGAGCAAGAAAAAAATATAATGATAAGAAAGGAAAGGAAATAAGGAATGATAAAAGGAAAGCTTGAATGACATAAGGATAAGACTAAAAGGAAGAAGGCTTTTATTATTATTATTATTATTATTATTATTATTATTATTATTATTATGTTCAAAGATTATTAGTCATAGCTGACTGGGGCTTAATTCTGAAATCTGGAATCTTTGTTTTACCTTTCTCTCTCTCTACCTATTTATCGGCTACAAATAAAGGTCACTTGTCCAAAAAACACCCCCTTCAAAAAACAAAAAACGAAAGGCAAGAAGGAAAAATAGGAGGAAAAGAGAAACAAAAGAACCAAGCCAAGATGAAACGACAAGAAGGAAGGAAACAAATGATGTTGGAAGGAAGAACGGATGTAACAAAGAAAGTGGGGAATGAATAACAGAAAGTAGAATGGAAGGATACAAGAAAAAAAAGAAGGAATGATGCAAGAAAGAAAATGAGAAATGTAATAAAGAACAAACATCAGGAAAGAGAAGTGTTTGTTTTAAGTACCTGGACCTTCATCTCCCTGTCTGTGTCCCAGATCCGAATGACTCTCACGTCTCCCGACGTCATGAGCAAACCAGTTTCCTGTTCCCAGTCCACGACCATCCCAGCTCCTAAAACACATCGATGAGACGTCAGTCAAAAAGTGAGTCATAAACACAACAGAGGCCCGAAATAGCCCACAGCAGGACTGTTCACCGTTATTACACAAGCATAAGGTGGGCTTTTAATCACAATTACAGAAGAAAAGCATGAAAAATTTGATTACTAAAAATAATTGGCCTACAATCTGTGAAGTGCTGCTTCAATTTATAGTTTTTAAGCGCTTAATTCAATTTAAACTGGACTTGCGCTCACACACAGCTGTTTAACACAAAACAGCATGTGTTCACTCCCCAAAACACAACCAGCGCAATCTGTTGGAGATTTCAGGAGGCTCTCGCTGCCACATGTTGCAAGTCAAATGAAGATTAGCTTCCTGCACCACTCTGTAACGAACACATACACCCACAACCATAAAAAAAAAGAAAAGAGAAAAACAGAAACACTGCTAGACGAGGACACAGCAGTAGTAAGAAAAAAAACAACAACATGTAATGCCAGGTTTGTACATAAGAAATAATTTATATTGTTTCATAAGAAAACAGTTTTTAAAAATAAATTTCTAAGTACGAACTTCACGCAGATGGACGAATGATGCAGCATTTGTATCTGCCCCGTCAAGATGACCGCTAATCTGAACCCGTCAGCAGATTCTGGCTTTGGCAACTCAAATAGCAATCGAGTGAGAAAGCGAGGCAGGAAGGAGCAGAAGACAGCGAGGCTCTACAAACGCTGGCAGGAGCCGCAAGAGGACAATCTGAAACGAGCTCTGCTGGCTCGCCAGCACAGTCCACGGGCCGCTAACTGCAGCACGGCGCATCGTCGTCGCTCCACGCTGCAACCATTCAGGTGTAAGCAGAACAAATTCTGCTGGAGCATTCGGGGAAGCTTCTGATTTACTTTATAGTAAATGTTCAGCTAAAAATGATCAGATGCCTTCACACAACTCTAAAAGAATCGTGGCACTTAATAAAAACTCCTCTAGAAAAATTATGTGGCGATGCTTCAGCTTGTATTCATAACTGGTGTTTTTCTACTGGAACGTTCTCCAGGAAGCAGGGTATTTTTCAACCGCTTGGTTTTCAAGTGGTTCAAGTCTTTCAATATGAATTGTATTGTCAAGGAGAAACCCACCAACAAAATTACAAAGTAGAGTGCACAAGAAAGTGTAAAGATCACTGATAAAAAGAATCTAAACAACAACATATAAAGAAGCAGCGAACAAATACGAACATTTTTAAAAAATGTAACCTGAAATGAGCCATAAACTTAAATTTTATCACCAGTCGAGACCAGAAATAGAAAAAAATATCTCATAAAAAGTTTTACTCTTACTACTCTCTTTTGGCAAAGTATCAACTGCACAATGCAAATGAAACACTTGAGAAAATTAACATGTAGGTGGCAAGTAATAGAAGAGTTTGCCTGCAATACTTTTCTACAAAGCTTTAGATTTAGTGCTCCATTGCTCTAGGTCTGTCAAGAGTTCAGAGAATAAAAGCTAAAGTGACATATTCATACATGGTGGTTAATAATTCTGGAAAAAACGAGTGATTCCTTGTAAACAAACTGTTGTAAGGAAGCTACATCTTTATATAAATCATCTATTTTCAGTTGCACAGTGTTATCTTTGTTGCTTATTGCAGCTCTTCGTCTGCATTGCATGAAGCTTAAGTGACGGTTTTATTTTTTATTAAAGTGAGACATCCAGTTAAACTGCAGTGATTATTTTAACAGCAAAGGAAGAAGTTAGAAAACAACAGCGAATGCAGCACTTAACCTTATAGCGTGAGAAGATAAAAATGAAGAGACAGCATAATAACACTCTAATTTTACTCAGGTAAAATTGCAATAATTGATGTTTTCATCCAGTTTTCTTCTTTGTCCCACATTTTAAATGCAGGCAGAAGAAGGAAAGATCCATTGTTCCAACATTCAGCTCCACATGCTTCTGCTAGAAGCGGTGGCTTGACTGCTGAACTAAATATATCATGGCCCTGTATCATTGTTCTGCTGGCGTTGGATTGTCAGGAAAAACCCGAGCCCCCATGCGTCGGCGGCGGCTTCGACGCCCCAACTGTGACGTAACCCAGCCAGCTCGGGCATCACGCCGCCTGAAGCGTGGGCTCACGCGGAGCCGGCGGCATGCAGGGAAAAACACTTCACAAGACTGAGGTTGGGAGAAGAGACCAGGCATTCCCTTTGAAGCCGACAGCTTGGATGTGAGCGGAGCCGAGATGGGGAGGAGAGGGAAAGGCTGCCCAACACACAGAGCCGTGTGCACTATCACCGAACTGTGATTTAGGCGGTTATATCTTATCGCTCTAATCTCATTATCTTCTCCTGTGAGGAGAAATCCTCTTGAGGTTTACTGAGAGAAAACCCTTCAAAACCAAGTATGTATTGCAAGGCAAACACATGTTTGAGGTATTTCGACTTTGTTTTTTTCTTAAAATGTGCAAAAGAAATAACAGGAAAATGAGAAAAAAGATAAGACTATTCTGTGTCTTTATCTTCTCATTACAGCATGGAATCATTCATCCTCTTATCTATCAAATTCTCTCTTTGTTTCTGGCTTAACGCAATTATTTGGTTATAAAAACGGCTCTCACAAAAAACAGAAATCATCAAAGCGCTGCATACTGAACCATATTTGTCGAAGCAGATCAACGAGTGCAATATCATAATCACAAAGAGCTGCTTCATCGTAATATTTGGTCAGCTATAATGTCTCAGGTTGAAAATATGTTTGAGCAGCTGGGTGGATGTTTTTAGTGTTTTATGCACCAAAAACATTTGCTATAGATTGTTGCGATCAAGGTGACTGAATTCAATAAGAGTTGGGTTGATCGCTGTGAATAAACTAACATTGCAAAATTCAATCAAAACCTCACAATTTCATGTTACGTTAATTTTGCAGAGCTCTAATATAAACCAACAGAGGTCTGTTTTTGACGATAGAGTCCTTGACACCAAGCATTCTTAAATGCGTCAAAAGTTAAAATTGTGATGACATTTGACCTTTTCTCATCATTTATTCGTATTTAACTACTTTTTTTTTGCAAGTTAAAGCACCTGAAATCAATATGTCAGTCCAAGGTAATGTATTCTGAACATTAGCTTTACTTTGGAGATAAATCCAGTCAACTCCCTCTTCCTCTGCCTGAGCTGCTACTTCTCCTCAAACTGTTTCTTTCTTCTCCAAAAACTATCCCTTGTCAATCCCCACTTTAGGAAGCCAAAGCCTTGTTGACTCCAGCAGAAAACATTTAGTTTTAGATTCAGAGGTTAAAACCAGAAGATCCACAACTTTACACCAGATGCTCTTAGTTCCTGCTTCCCCTCAGTGCTCAGCAGCTCAAACCAGAAGAAAACTCTGCCTTAGAGGAACCCTCTGAGAGCCACAAGAGGCCTTAGTTATCCACACACAAATCAATATGGACGTAGGGAAGCTGGAACCAAAGGAGTCAGCAGCTGGAGGTGAAGACTGCATCTTTAAACATGTAGAGATCACCTCTTCTTCTGCAGCTTTCAACCAGGGGAAAAGTTTCCATTATTAAGAGCTGGCTGAGTTGTGATGAAAAATATTATCACCAGCGTCACAGAGATAAAGAAGAATATTATGTGTTACATTATCTTTCTTTCTTTTGCAGAAATATCACACTTTAATTCAATTTTCTCTTCTAAGAAGTGGGGGCTTCCTCTGCTTTTTCATTCTGCACCATTTTCTCCAGCACTGGCCTTACTATCTCTGCAGCTCATGTTTCAGTTTTTTCTCTTTTATCTCCCTTCCATCCAGCTTTGAATACGCTCTCCCTTGTATTATTAGGAGCTTCTTTGTGCCTGTAATACATGATGACATCAGTCCGTGGGAGTTTTTTAATCTGCAGGGAGTCTTCCTCACTCTGACATTGGTTTTCCTCTAGGACCTCGGTCCTGCCACACGGGGGAGGCAAACAGCTTTATCCTGGTTGATTGACAAAAGACCTTTGAAACGACACCCTATAAATGTGGCCAGCATTAACAATTGTTGACCTAATTGTCATGGGGAGGAGGTTTCGCACATCATTTTAAATTATTCAGAACAGACCAAATCCCCGAATGCTTCACATTAACCTTACAACACCAGAAAAATCTCAGGAGAAGCAGAATTTGAGAAATAAGCAACAATATTAAAATTTCATTGATTTGGAATAAAGAGCTAAAAATTCTAATGATCAAAACGGATCAGTCAGAGGCTTGTGATCGCTTAAAAACCCTTAAACATCAGCAATAACATCGACACAGCAGGTGGTCATGAATTTTCAATCTTTGGGTAAATTTGAATAATCCCTCTGGATTACACCTTATGAAATATAAAATGCATCATTTGTATATCACATAACCAAAGATAATTTTGGAGCAGCAAAAACAGGAAAAACAGAAGTTTAAATTTCTGTTTTTCCTGTTATGTTGGAACATTAATAGTAATAAGTATCAACCATATTATTGTATTCCAGCCTTTTATTCCAATAGTGTAAAAAGTAGGGATGCACTGATACAAAAATTTGAGGCAAAATTTTTATGATATTAATATTGCTGTGATAGCTAATAACTAATATTTGCTGATCTAATAAATATTACATATATTTCATAATATTTTTTGACTACTCTAACTTTTAAATCAATTGGAAAAATAAAGATTTTGTTCATCTGCGCATTGTGAGAGGATGACTCACAGATTGGCAACACAATTGTCCGTGTGTGTGTGTCTGAACATTTATTATGAGATTGAAATGGTGCAAAAATGTCTTCAATTCTTGATATTTGATTTCAACTTTGCCAAAATTGTATGTTAGAAGGCATGCGCAGTTTTACATTAGCATATTCTTAATCATCCAGTCATAAAAAGCAAAAATAAAATAAGATTGGGGGGCGCATGCCTTCAGGGCTTTTCTAGATTTACCCAAACTATCTGTACTGTTCCCTTAAGCTCCTCACAAAACTCACAGGATGTAGATTTATTAGGGGTCCCAGAGCCCTGGTGTTAACAAGGCAGTGAGCAGCTCAGCTGAATGTGGAGCAGGACACAGCGTGCGCTGCAGCTGAAGGGAGCTGACCGTCCTATTTTTATTTAATGTAGCCAAAAGAAAAGGGTTACAATAAGAACCAGGACAGTGCAGTCTAAGTCCATCTGGGATTAAAAATCTTGCACCAGTTTTTGTTTTTGTCATTATTTTATTTTTTTTTTCTGTCACATCCTTTTTTTCAGCACAGACTTTAATTAGACCGACCTGTCAGTGCAGGGATGACAAGTCTTTGTGGTTCGCTCCATCCTGCTCAAATCTTAAGGAAAGTTTGTCACTTTTTCCTAATCAGAAAGTACTCCCAAGTCAACAAATTTAGTGACATTTTGCAGAGTTAAATCCTTGGTTTCTCTCTCCATTTCCACTATTTTATCTTCATCCTGTCCAAGTATTCACCCAGCTCCTTCCACAACCCCTCTGACTTCACCCATTCTTCCCTTGAAACTCATCTTCCTCTTGTTATTTTTATTTTGACTCTACACCTCTGGTGACAACCTTTTGCTTCCAACCGCAGCGGCAGGAATAAATTCCCCAAGCTAAAGACCCTCCTGAATTTTCACTGGAGTTTAACAGGCTGGCCCCTGCAGCGTCACAGACTGGGGAGCTCAACGTTATTAAAAATATCACAGCACCCACACACTCCAATTAAACAGCGGAACCCCAGGGATAAACGTAAATGAGTCACTTTTATACAAGAAAGCGGCGACATGAGATGAATACGAATGCAGAAGGAAGACAAAAGAGCAAGGCCTCACTTCTGGAAACCCTGTAAATCACCAGCTATATGACAGCCGAGTTTAGTGAGATGCCACTGGATCTCAGCTTACAGGTGCTCATGCCTTCATGCCAAAGCAATAACAGTTGTCTGAATAATGCTGAAGTACAGATATACAGTTCAGGCGAATGTTAACGAACTAGAATTTATGGTAGCTGTCTAATAGAAGGCTAAGTTCAGCAGGAATGTCACTAAAGATCTTGCTAAGTATAAAGTAAAGGTCAGGGGTTTTTCTGGTATTTTCAGGAATTATTTTGAGTATTGAGCTCCAAGTGTTTGAGGTTGGAAGGTCTCCCTGCCATCACCCTAATCTTTAGCCCTCCTCACAGATGTTCTTTCAAATTGGCATTCTAGCCGTGTCACTCCTAAATGTTAATATTACTTCTAGCCAAAAGAAAATGTTGGAAAAATTAAAAAAAAAAAAATTAATTATAGAGCAACAACTCTGGGATCACGATCTGAAAGGTTTCAGATTCAGTGAATTGCTGTGATTTGTGCTTTCAAAATTGGGTCCTGTTTTGAGCGTCGGTGCCCTGAAGCCTGGAGGGAGTTAACCCGGCTTTGTATGTTGGGATTAAGAAACCCAAACATTTCCTATTGGTTGTCGTGAACAGACTGTGAAGCCCTACCTGGATCTTCATCAAACTAATGCTGAATTGTTGGCAAAGGTTTTGGAGTGTCGTGGGGAGAGGGGTGGGTATCGGCACCAGCATTCTGCAGGGTTTTTAATTCCATTTCTAATCTTATTAATTTTAGATCAAATACACAACTCTGTTAGTATAGCGTAGTTGTTTTGGTCGAACTTAAATTTTCAAAATTTAAACTTAATTTCTATCCCTGTTAAGAAGTGTGGCTTTGAGAGGTTCCTGCTATCATAAAGAAAATTAAACAACCAAACTTTTCCTTTGTATTCTTGTGAACTTCAGAGTGACTGTCAGAGATGGAGTGGTTGGACATGAACACACTAGACAGATGAACGAGCACTGGAAAAAGGGGAAGAGTGCGGGGGTGATGTTAAAGGAAATAAAAGAACTACAAACAGAAGAGGCACGTTCCCAGCTGTATACTGCAGGAGCCTTGCTCTCCGAATAAGCAAGAAAAGAACAGGAAGGTAAGACTCACCTCCTTGTTTGCTCCTGTCAAGATAGATGGAAACCCTTCTGGCCAGACCTGCGAGCGGGGGAAGGGAGACGGGGGGTACAGCAGGAATGCAACAAAGCCAGCGACAAATTAGAAAGAACCCCTGTGCATGCTAGCCCAAGGAGCCCCACACACTTCTAAAAGAACTGTAAAACTGAAAAGATTTGTCACCTCTTGAGTTTTGCAGTTCACATGCATTCAGCAGAGAAATGAACAAGGCAGCTGCTTCCAACAAAACTAGCTGAGATCAAAGAGGATCTGCATCCCAAACAGGGAGCATCGCTCAAACTCCAAACCTGCAGGGTCCAAAGTTCTGATTCGCCCTTTACCACAGGGGCAAAAACAGCAGCAGGACCAGACACATCTAAGGTCCCTCACAGAACTCTTCATAACCCTGGACTTTTTTGCATTTTCTCGAGATGCAACCACACACTTCAATGTGTATTTTATTAGAACTTTATGTTCCTGTCTTCTCAAGTAAAACAAATGGTTTTCAATTCTTTGCAAATAAAAATCTGAACAATGTGGCACATTTGTATGAAGCCTCATTATTCTGATACAAATAAAAACTGAGTGATGTGGATATTTAAGCATAAATTGAGGTGTTCATGTCTGCATACTCCTCATAAAGTGCTTAGATGTAGTTTGTGTTAGTGAACAAGTTGTTGAAAAGTTCAAATCAGGGTTACATTACTAAATAATATTCCATGTATTCCAAGCTTTTAAAATGTTAAGGAAAATTGTTGAATCCATAAAAAGAAAGAGTCAAACACAACAAAGTGGCACAGAGAAAACCATTGTTGAAGAAAACAAAATAAGAACTCCCATTTCATACAAGGTATGTAGGAGACACCAATAAACACATGGTAGATTGTGCTACGTTGAGAAAAACAAAAATAACTTGAAATTTACTGATCTGGCAAATATAGCAGTCTGTAGTTGGGTAAAGCTGGTAGGAACAAACCTTTAAAGTGTTCCTACAAAGCATTTACTCAGAGGGGTTGAAATCAAAGACAAAAGATTTTCAGATTTTTGTTTGCAAAAACCTTTGAAAACAATGCATGCTTTATTTATGGTGCTACTCTATGTGAGCTGAATAAAATACACGAAAGTATGTGGTCGCATTGTAACAAAAGATGAAAAGGTTGAATAGATGAATATTTGTAAAATTTCCTGCACATAAATGTCTGCAAATGTAAATAAAAGTTAGAGAAAGGTCGACTGAGTAGGATCCTCAGGAAATAATGAAGCTGCTCGATTCGATATTAAATTAAAACGAAGGGATTTTGACATGATAGGGAGTCGTTTTGTTGCTGCCTTGTTCAGCCTCTCTCCAGAGATGAGGGAAAACACAAAACAATCTCAAAGACCTAGCAAAGTAACAACAAGCCAGTCAGTCAAGAGAGATGTTCCACTGGTATGAAAACAACACAGAAGCACGCCATTGGCTGATGGAGATGGGGGTGAACTGGGACGGGTCCAGCAGGTGCCAGGCTCCGACTGTTTGTCTCTGCCAGCCTCTCCTTGAGAAATATTCAGTCTTTTAGCAGCTGCCTTCAGAGCAACAACAGAGTTTTTTGGCAGCACAAAGATAGAGTTGTCTCATATTTTATTTGGCTTTAAATTATTGACGCATTTGAGGACAGTTTTTTTTCTTTTAAATCCTACAAATTCTAGCTTATAACCATCAACATACTTGTTAAGTAAATGTAATAACTCATAAGAGGATACTAGAACTATATGCCGGAAAAAAAACCTAGTGTGTATGTGAGGTTTTAGAGGTCTTGTTTTTAACATTTCTGCCCAAAAAAAAAACAAGCTGAAGCCTAACTAAAAGTTCAGGAGAAATCTCAGCTGATGCCTTCAGTGTAGTCAAAGTCCAAGTCAAGCAGCAACTGTCAATCCGCCATAACAAGCACACCATTAAATGTGGAAGTCTTCGTGAAAACACTTGCAGAGAGAGACAAAGGCAGAGTCCTCTCTGCAGGGGCAAGAGCCTCTCTGGGCAATTTGTGGTGTGGGACTTATCCAGGCTGTGAGGTTAGTTAAATGTGTCGCCTCTCCACAATCCCTACAGTCCCCTTGGAGCTCTGCTGACTCTGTTGGGACCTCTGTGGAGGCTTTAGGTCATCCAGTCACTTATCCTGACAGATCCAATGTTCAGTCAGGCGTGCTACAAAACACAACGGCGCACAAGTTGTCCACAAACTGAGCTATCATTGTACAATATTAAAGATAAATACAGATGGCTTTCACATAAACACAGATGTCTGTAAAATTATATTTAAAAACCTAATTTAATATTGCTCATTAGAAGGAACACAACGTTCATTTTTGAGGACTTCTATTTCTATATGTTATTTAGTCTCATTAAATGTTCATCCTTCAAGATCTTTTTAACTGTTAATGTCGAAATGGGCAATTTAACAGGAATTCATCCAGTATAAAATCAGTCCACAGAACTCATAGATATTAGCTTTAACTCTGTACATTCATCAGACTTAGATGTCTGATGAATGCATTTGCACTTTTACGTCACAAAAACACGCATGTACCAAACATAAAGCCTTCCACAGAAACGTTAAATGCGACAGAAACTATGCGGACTAGAAAGGAGACGATTGATTGATATGACGTCTTCAAGACACCTGGGAGCTAAAGCCAATTTTTTTTTTTTCCAATTAGACATTTCAGCACAACATGTAATTTCCTTCTGCTGTGTCAGACTGTTAGATGGATCTCCAGGGGGTGGTGGTAGTTACTGGAAGATACTTTAACTCCACCTGAGAAACTGATACCCCATCTACCTTTAAGATGAGGATTAAAGCTTTCCTTTTAAATAAAGCTGGGTTGGATTTTCCTGAGCTGCTGGTGGACCTTAGGCCTATAACAACACACCTGGCGTTTCCTTACTTCACTATTTTCTTCTACTACTCTCCATTGATGCATTCCATTAGCGTTTTTTTACTTTCTGTTCTCTATTTTTCCCTCACCTTGGAAGACATGCTTGGCCCAATATTTTTGTATCTAACTTTTTTTTTATCAAAGCTATTGATGAAGCTTATGTGACCATTAAACTGAACCCAAGTTTATTTACGTGGTATTTTATTGCCTTTTGGCTCAGAATGAAGGACGAGGTGTTAAAAAAATACTTTATCTGTAAAGGATTAAAAATTCACATTTCTACTAAAACGCAGCGACTCTAAATATACAAAAAGACGTTGAACATCAAAATATACAACTAAATGTCAGAAATCTTGTTCTTAGAGGGTAAATAAGGGAAAAACTGGTGATATCCTGCCAGAGGAAACTGGAAAAAATAAAAATACATATGTAAGTCTGCAGGGTTTTGGAAATGAAGTTCAGAGTGGTTCAACATCTGTGTCCCTTTTAATTGATCACAATTATACTCCTGCTTTGTCCTGCCATACATGATAATATTTGCTACTGGTTGAGTCTTAACCTTCATATCAATGCAGGAATTCTTAATATTTTTAATATTTGTTCATTTTTGTATTTTCTTTCTTTCCTTTTTGATTCTGCCTGGCCCAGAGGAAAAAAAAACCCAAACATCTCTTATTTAGCCATGCACAGCTTTGCATAAAACCCATTTAACTTAGCAGAGTCATTACAGTCACTGTATTTCAGAGGAAATGTGACTTTAAACCCTCTACATGAAATGCATTTTTCTTAACATGCCTCCCCGGCCAATCTGAATGCTGCATAAATAAGCAAAAACTGAAACATTCTGGGGATTTATAGTAACAGTGACCTTTAAAGATGACTCAAAAACACACTTTAACTTTATATAAACTTGTTTTATGCAGCCCTGCTTAACTATAGTTGATGGGGATCACTTTCTACATAATAGGTAATTCTGTGCTACATTCACTTGCACCCAGATATCAGATTTTTACTAATTTAAGCACAACATATTTTACTTTCTTATTTTAATATATTTTGTTCTGTAATTAATTAGTTGAAATTAACAGGTTTAACGTCTTACCCTGATTGTTATATTGTCAAAGTAAGTAACTGTATATTTAATATAAAATGAAGCATTTACTGGCTCTTTCTCATAAGAAGTACAAAAGTGTGGTTACTAAATGCAGCAGTTATCGACACATTTAAGAAGTGTGCACAGTCTTGCAGCCCCTCGTTCCCCAAAAACAATTCTGACCCAGAAATGTAGAAGTGCTTGAGGCAGAAAAATGTAGAGCAGCTGGGATTGAGGCATGACAGTGTGTACTGTGTATATGTGCGCGTGCGTGTGGTGAGGTAGAACAGCGAAGTGGGTGGATGTTTCTGACAAGAGTGTAGCGCTGTCTGCCCTGGTTCACATATTTGTGAATAATTCTGCCTCAGGAATTATGGAAGTGTGTCAGCTAAGAGGCAAAACGTGACAGCAAGTCCACAAGATTGTCAACAGTTGAGTTTTACGTGATCTGTTTTGCTGATGGAAGATAAACTATCCTGCAAGGGAAGAGGAAAAATTACCTACCTGCTGAATGCATAATTCTGCAGCCAGATTAAGTTGAATGTAAGCCATCTACCAGGTTAAATCCAGCTTTTTCAGAAATGTAACAGAAACCTGATGGACAGTTTCTGATGGTGGATGGCATCAGATTTCACATCATATTTGATTCAAATAATAGTGTGCATTTATGCTATCTGATGAAAAAAATCAAAACATCGTTACATAATAATAAATCAGGCACAACCTAGATATAAAAAAGTTTGGAAGGAAGTTGCATTTTATTTCTATTCCAATCTTGTGTCTCTACTAAAAGTTTAGAGATCTGGTCTCTGAGAGCTCGCAAGTTCTGGCCTGAATCTCCAACTCTCTGGGGTTATAACACAGTTTGATGGTTTGAACTATCATAAAGGCCTCTTCTCTAGCAATTACAGACTAGAAACCTACAGTAAGACTTTAAGACATGTATAAATTAGTTTTTATGGCAACTTTAATGAATTGGAGGTTAGACTTTTTTTATGATGTACAGTAAAACTTAATATGATCTGACATTAACCTTGGATTTGATTAATCCAGTCTTATAACTTATCTTAAGTTATATATGTCTAGAAATCACCAAACTAGATTAATTTAAACGATAATAACACTTCAGGTTCTTATTAGTTTTTCTTTGGTTCTGAGCTGAGTCGTGTTTCTATGTTTGATGGTCTCACTAATCCTTGATTCAGGTAATATTTTTTTGTGCATACATTTCTTTAAACAAAAACTTGTGCAGCTCTTTGAAAGCTCTTTCATTATATTTGAATTGAAAAAGTGATGCATAACTGTATCTGTACTTTCGCTTATAAATAGTCTTTATCATGTTTTATTTCTCATTGCTTGAGGTGTTATGCCATTGCCCATTAGTAATGCCATTGTGGATGTCATTGACCAAATTCAAACACTTAACTCTCTCCTTCCCCTTAATCTATGATATTGGCACTGGTCAGTCTTTTTGGGATTTATAATTATTTCCTAAAGTCAAGCAGGGTTATATGTATATTTTTGACCAATTACTGCCCAACAGGAATTGATGGTTTTCTCTTCATGTTTATTAATTGTTGTGCTCTAAATAAAAATAATATTAAATCGATGTTTATTAACTGCTTTGCTCTGTAGCCTTTGCAGTCTGCTTCCAGTTTTAGTTTTTAACTAAAAAGCTTCTCGGTTGCATTTAAATGAACCAAACAGGATGTTTTGGAAGAAAAAAAGTGTGTGCAGAGAATAAGATCTGCGTATATCCAATGTTTAAGTTTGTTTGAATTAATGCACCAGCCTTCCTGTCATACTTGCAGAGGATGGGGAGGTGTGAGAATATGACTGGGATGGGTTGGACAGGAGGGGTGGGAGTGAGCATCCACCAAAACAGGAGGACTGTGGGGCATGAGCACAACACGCAGTAATAGAAAGTGTTGATCTTTACTGTGGGTGCTGGAGGAGGGCTGACCTCTGGTGGTTGGCAGCATGTCGGAGAGGCCCTGCCACGCTGTTACCATCTCTGGGTTCTTCTGGTCAGCAAAGTTCTTCCAGACACGCAACGCTCCATCATCTGGAGAAAGAAAGGAGGTGGCGAGATGAAAAAAACAAAACAAAATAAAACCACACAAATAAAGTCAAATACAATCAAAAAGAGGATTTATGTCAGTCATTCAATTCAGACACTTTATATTATAGTGGGTTAAACAGACAGGGGAATTTATTGTGTTTAATTCTGTTAATTTGGATAACCACGACTAATGAAAAAGAAATATTTAGTTTGTGGTAGAATTAACATACAGCTTAAGATCAATAAAAATGATTTTTTTTTGTCATAGTCATTGAGTCCCTCTACAATAATCGTAAACCACAAAATGACAATGATAAAAAGTTGGCTGTTTAGAGTAACACTGTAGGGAAGCCAACTATTTGAAAATAGAATAGAAGGAAAAAGTATGGTAGAAATAAAAAATAGACAAAACAAGAGGAAAAGGTGTAATTTACTGTTTTGTTTGATTTCAGCAATGGGTTCAGTATGTCTCAGTGAGGTACTGGGTAGTTGGATTGCCAGCAAAGAGGCCAAAATTACACTAGCAAAATGTTTAAACATTTTCTTAAAGGTTTATGCTAGCAGAAATATGGTAGAAATGAAATGAAATTAAGTACAATTAATTTAAATTGTCTGCCACTCAAACAGCCAACAGATTTCCGTTATTTGTTCCAATAATTAGGTGTGGACTATTCTCTATTTCCAAAGAGTCAAAATTATGTCAGTTTTTCCTTTTACTGAATTTCCCACTACTATGTTCACATGCAGCATTTATTAATGACTGTCCACGAGACAAACTCTGTTTACTGTAGTTTTATAGATCACAACAGTGAATTTCTGGTTTTAAAAAGTTTTATATTTGTATTTTAAAATATCATTTTTAAGAAATTGAGGGTGTTCATTACCCCCAGGCCATTATAATGAATCTATACGATATACCTTCTGAAGTGTTTATAACCAAGTTCAATAAACACTTGGTTATATTTAATTCACTAAGATGCCTTTGTATGTTCTGAGTGTGATGAAATCTTCATGAGTTTTTTTTATAACTTGGCTAAAGTTCTTTAAACGTAAAAACATCAGAGAAGTTAAGCTGAGTAAGATCTTAAAAGGCTGTTCACCTAAAACATCTTGACAGAGAAGAAAAACAGGACTGAAGCCTTGCCCAGAAAAGATCTCTGCAGCTCAAACACAACTAAGAGCAAAGCACTAAACCTGTCCACTTGCTCCTTCCAGAACATTATTACAAGTTCCCACCTGATTTATGCTCATTGCTTCACTTTTTTAATGTGGTATCTGTATAAGAAATGGTATCCTTCAGAGCATGACTGATGGAGAAAAGCTCAATAAGCGCACATTACTTTTTGATGAGGCTGAATTTAAAGGCATTAATTCCTGGGCATTTTCTCGGCTTGAAGTGCAATTAAAGGCAATGTTTATTCTTTGTTTAAATTTATGCTATGATGAACAAACAGAATAAATGAGTTTAAATTTGGAGTTGTTTTCTAAAGAAAAATGCCCGATGAAGATCAAAGAAAGAAAGATAATTGCTCAGTGATATTGATGATAAATACAGAGAGGTGTGTGTAGGACACAGTAAGCACTGCTAATGCTCTGGTGGGGACAGACATTCATATTTCCTGGATGTGAATTAGTGCCTCCCACCTGTCGCAGTGAGCAGTAACGAACAGTCATGTCCATTCAGGTACTCCATGGCAGTGATCCGGGTGTAACGAGGGTTTCCGTTGTAGAAGTAGTCCAGCCTCTCACTCTTCTCCCAGTCCCAGAAACTGGTACAGACATATTCAGGCTCCAGTGTAAGTGAAACAATAACGCCTGCTCCAGGAATTCAGGCTGAGTGTGTGATGCATTCTGACCAGATGCTGTCCTTGTCGGCCACAGCGATGCAGGTGTTGAAGGGGTGAAACTTCACAACAGACGGCACTCCGGGGTTACGGTTGATGAATATTTGATCGTCAAGACGAGAAATGCCTGTGACAAAAAAGGAAGATGGTAAGAGTTCTCAAAACTCAAATGGTCACGTTTTTGTTGAATGTGTCTCCAATGTCGATTAGTCATATGATGAGGAATTTGTTTTGAAAGTCCTGCAGAGTATCTAGGAAAGTACAACTACAATGCGTGACTCAAAATATGTGCATTCATCAAGAAGAAAACGTTTAATTGGTAATCATGTTCCAGACTTTTCAGCTGTACTTTAGGCTCTTCTTTCTGATTGGTTGATTCAGAAATTAACAGCCAATCACAGTCCATAAAACAGCAGAGAATGCAATTGAACAATCATTTCCATTGGTCCCCTGGTGGGAAAATCATTTTTATCCACACAACTGGATATCAGATGCTGCATATTTTGCTCTTTTTCTGATCATTCTTTGTAAAATAGAATAATCCCAGTAAATCCCAGTATCTCAAAGAATTGAAAGGGTTTTGTAATGTAATTTATTTTCTTAAATTATTAAGAAAATAATTTGAAATGGTCATACAGAATTTTATGGAGAATGAGTAAAATTTTCACCAGATTCATGTGACCACTGAAAAAGCTGTTTAATTCTTGCATTAAAAAGTGGACAACTTCATCACTAAAACGCCTTTGCAGAGAGGTAAGGATTTAGACAAAAACTGAATCAGTTTTTAGCTTTCTCCTCTTCTCAGCCTTCCTCTATCTGCGCTCCTCCTCCAGTCTCGTCTCTCTCAGGAGGGAGCCGACTGAATGAGGGCAACCCTTCCACTTCTCTCAAAAAAATAAAACAGGGGGGGAATTCAATGATTGAGCGAGCAGTTGAAAGTAAGGGAGAGGTGTGTACGTGAGCAAAACTCAGCTCTGACGCCAATCGCCTCGTGACTGAGTGTGTGTGTTGCAGGGGGGCTGCCAGTGACGTTGGGTTTGTTAGTTATTCTGTTTGAGAGCGCTCTAACTTCACAGGAGGATTCTGTGACAATACTGCCACTCCAGACTCTGTGTGTGTGCGTGTGTGTGTGAAGGGACTCCTGCGTGTCGTAGAGCAGGATGTTTCCAGCTGCGAACCGTTTTTTTATATCCATCCGCTCACTGCTGTGAATTATCTGGACACCATTTGCTGTGTCGTTGCATCATTGACTTCTTCTGTCCAGATGTCAGACATGAAGCTCAGTAAATCAGTGAAGATCGTGAAGAGATATTCACAGTGCTGCAACTTAAATTAGCATCCAACCATAAGCCCCTGCTACAGAAACCTGTTATATAACAGAAATAACAAAAAATAGTCCAAAAATATATGTTTGTGGAAATCCTGTATCTGAGAATTGTAGTTCAAGTTGTCCACCTCAATTTATTTTACATTTTTTTAGCATTATCACATACAAAGCTGAAGACAAAGGTCAGTTATTACCACATATCCAATAAAACTGAAAGAAACTTTGTCTTTTTGTTTGAAGCAGCCAATCAGATGCCAGAATTCCTACAAAAACAGCCATAATCCTGCCCACTGAGTTTGATGGGTGAGTTATAATTAACATTACTAATATTTAATTAACGTAGTTTCGTACTATAAGCCGCTACTTTTTTTCCCCCACGCTTTGAACCAAGCGGCTTACAGCTCAGTGTGGATTTTTCCTTCATCCACCAGGGAGCTTTTTAGCTGGAAGTGAATCATTGGAAATCAAAATTGGAAATCAAAGAAGTGCTGATTTTCATGTATAACAAGCACATGCTCGCAGCAGGCATCATGGAGAAATGTCTTCAAACTCATACTCCCTCTTCATGGAAGCAACATGAAGAAGTTCATATGATGCAGGTACTTTTAAGTTGAAGGCTACCGATCTGGCAGTACAGCTGCTGTACGTAAGCTGGGAGTGAACGAATCCATGGCTCGGCATTGGATACGCAGGGCTGCGTCCTTAACAGCAGATTTATTAAGGATGCAGCCCTCTGCTGCGGCACTGTGGAAAACCAAAAGCGGCGAAGATACCAGCCTTATTGCCTGGTATATATGTACGTTTCCAGTTTAAAAAAAAAAAAACTTTGTAGTCGCAACTTATCGTGAGGTGCGCTTTATAGTCCAGAAAATACGGTAAGAAATAATTACTTAATTTTATTTTTAATAAATATTTTCTGTTTTTATTTCCAGTTTTTTTTTAAATGATAATTTATGTAGTCGTTTGTGTGCCACTCACCTCTTTGTGTGATGACTCGACTCTGTCTTCTAACGCGAGCATTTCTCAGGAACCTCCACTGCCGCTCCATCCTGACCTGGCTCTCCAGGTCATGCTCCTCTGGGATCTGTAAATATCAAGTTTTCCTTGAGGTTTTTATTGTGTCCAGCCAATAGGCAAGATATTCTCGTGGTGTGCCACTAAAGGAAAAAAAAGAAATCAAGGTCTTTTGAAAACACTAGGCTTTTTTGACAGTGACAATGAAAATAGGCAGGAAAGGCCTCTGACCTAAGAGTCAAACTAGACAGCTGTGGAAAGGACAAATAGGCTCAATATTTGAGGTGCTTGATGTTCAGCAACATTAAAGCTGCTCACAAAGAAATTACATAAAAACAATAAAATCATTTCACTTCAAATCCTTTTTATCTTTACATACTCAACCATAATCTAAACGTGTAATATTTCAACTTAAAAAAATATGAAATGATTGTAGATCCAAAGGACCTCATGAATTGCGTTTTAAAAAAGAATATCTTAAGATGAATTTTAATTTCCTTTGTCTAAAAGATAAAAATATATCTATTTTAATATTTTATATATTTTAAGAAATCTCGTTTAATTCTTCTTAACATAACCATAGATCATGCTGCTCTCCCGTTTCCCCTCTCTGACTGCATTTGAAAGAGGTCATAATTTACATCCATCCCACTTTTAAACCTAATTTTGCTGCACCAACATTGGGGACGCTCATGAGCTTATGAAAAAAATGACTCAAGGTATATCAAAATCCCTTCCTGTAATTACATCTAATCACATCTGCTGAGCAGGGGGACAACATTAAAAACATAACTTGATTAAGTCTTGCATAACAAAAGAGACCCCACAGAATTAGTGCCCAGCTTTAAGTGAACAGAATAAGTCTTTCATTAGGGCTGTATTAAAAATGCAGTGTAAAATAAAGCACACGTCCAGATGAATGCATTGAAGTCATGCATTACAAATATATGATTTCTAAATAAACAGCAGCGGTTAAGCTGCATGTGTGTGTTATTTGATGATGGCTGGCCATGTGTGCTTATTAAGCACCTTTTTGCTGCAAAGCCTCCCACACCCACTGAATGATAAATAGCTTCAATAAACAGCTTCAACACCACGTGACTACACTACTACTGCATGCTATCAACACCCTGTGTGTAAATGTGGCTTTGAAACAAATGTGCGTTCAAGCACTTCGCAGTCCGATCCCTGAATAAATAACTTTGGCCGTTCCTCTGGGACTCTGGTTCCTAACTGAGTAAGAGAGGAGGCAGGTGCAGCAGGAGGACTCTGACGTATTTTCCAAGCTGAGAGGGAAAATGAGTGTGACTATGAGGGCCATGTCAAGGTAAAAGCCTGCTCACACTGCTGTTTCCAGCACTGCTGCTCTGCTGTGTGTCAGCAGCTAACGTATTCTGTAATGAGACCCTCAGGTGATAGATGAGTGTTAGTTCTCCACATAGAAAGATCTATAGTAAAATATGAACTGTGTTACGTATCAGAACCTCTGAGAACATTTGTCGTTCTGGTTAAAGGTGCCACACACTCATCACAAGCACAAATTTTACACATTTTAGACCTTCTAGGGTGGAACTGAACTGCTGTCTTTTCAGGGTAAATTTTGAAAGGAAGTTAGAAATCACTGTGGAGTTTCTCTAATTCACACAAGATCAAAACAACACACACACTCAAATATATACTAACAACCCTAAAAATGTTTACATAATTACAAGTCGAAGCAAAATCACAAACTTCTTGTAGATTTCCAACAATTCTGGCGGAATTCTGACTGGATATTTCACAACTACATTTTATTTTATTTTTTTACATGTCCTTTCACAAGTTCAAACTCCATCATTAATTTAAGCTCAGACACCATTGGGTTTTCCAATAGTGACCAAACTTAAACCAAAGGTGTTGGTTCTGTTTGGGGTGAATAGAAGGTTTTGGGCATCAATTGCAGACCATGAAACGTTTCTTCAGATGGTCTGAAGGTCCAAACCTGAAAGCCCTAAGGCACATTTAGTTGCGATAGCTATTTTTTGATATTTTATATTTTTGGCTACAGGTTAGTTTCTACTGAAATAAACGTTATGCGACAGCAAGAGATAGAATTAGACAATGACTGATTCTGAATCGCATAAAAAGTTTAAAGTGACACTGATTCTGGGAGGTCATATGAATTCTACAGATTATTAAAAAGATGTTTTAGTCAATAAATTAAAAGAATGAGAGGTGATGACCAGGGGTCTCAAAATTCTCAGGACTTGATTAGAAATGCTGATAATTTAAGTTATTCTAATGCTCTTGTATTAAATATTCAAGAGCATCCAAAAAACTTATGAACAAATCAAGAGATGTTTAGTCATTTCGGGCATTTAAGCATCTACCATAAACATCGACGAGCAAACCTCCCTTGTGTGCTGCTGACAAAGAGATACGAAAACTTGCATACTGAAATTAACAGAGTAGCTTCGTAATGGAGGAGGAGTTTTATGGTAGAAGTCAACATTTTTATTTTTTGCCAACGCAGAGTTTAGATTCGCACAGCTCTTGTGTCTCCGCCGCCTGTTCTCGTACACGCTTCCTATCCAGATATCGTTCTGATTTCCATCCCCTCTTCGTGGAGCTCCATGCTCTGTCTGTCTTTCATCTCATTCATCCACACCGAATGCTCTTCATCATAAGATTTACTTCACTGTCAACCTGATCCTCCTTCTTCACCCACCCTCTGCTCCCACCTCTTCATGTCCCTCTGTGTCTTGTCCTTTTCAAATATTTTGCTTTGATCCATTTTTCTTTTTTCAGACTTTTCTACTCTGTTTTCATCTAACATCATACACTGCTTTACCAAAAGAAAGTCACCACTTGGATATTACGAAGCAAATAGGTAGGAGCTTCCACAGGATAATTACTGCAGGGTTGATTATGTTCTAATTCATTAAACAATTATGTCAGAAGAGCCTCCTTAAATATTAATCTGTTTAAGGAGGATCAGGTGAGGCAAACCCCAAAAAATTGTTGGAATGATTATAACTGGGTTAGGAAATGTTCAGCACATTATTAACCCGAGGGACAGTGGGGAGCCATCATCTTTGCAGAAGAAAGACAGAATTTATCGACCTCAAGTTGTGTGGAAGTAGTCAAGGAATATGCGATATTATTTTCACACATCACTTCCCAGCATATGCTCCAGGTCTCAACCCCAAGGATAATCTTTGGGATATTCTGGTTTAGAGTTAGGGTTAGGAGTTTAGGAGGTTTTCTGACTCTCCCAGTATCTCTTAAATTGCTTGGAGGAAAATGAATGCAACTTTGGACAGAAATAAATGTGACATCGCAGAAGACATTCAAATCAAATCGAAAGGTTTTTCCAGTGTGATATTCGGATGTGTGACCTTTTGTGTGCCTTGTAAATACCGTATTAAACTGACTTTATTATCTCGTTTCTAAATGTCAAAGCTTGGAAAGGAAAGGTGACACTTTCTAACTATTCTGAAACAGCATTTTGCAGGAATAAAATGTCTCAAGTTTATCATGCATGATTGTGTACTCCTGGATTTAGACCAACATTTTGATAACTTGAACACTGCTGACCTTTCGAAAATACTTGGGAACAAACATATAAACTGAACATTTTACTTCTGGTTTGAGTTATTTGTTAATCTTAAAATAAAATCCACGATGGACAGTGTTCAACAGAAACCTGGAAGAGTGCTGATAACATCCAGATGTATTTATTGCTCAAACCGAGTCGTGCCGAGCAGCTACCTCTGTGCTTCGAGAGCAACTGCACCAAACAAACTCTGTTCAACCAAACAGAATAAAAACACCTCCTGTTTTTTTTTTATCCCTTCCTGAAAATGAGACCAGTTCTCAGCACTTACCTTCAATCGGGAAGCTATATTTGCTTGCAAGGTTTGGAAAATATGTAAATAAAACTGAAAAAGATGCACAAAATACTGCAATACCTTCCTTAGTTTCCCCATTAGACCACAAGTTATTGACAACTACAAATAGCTGCAGTGAAATAAGAGATACAGTAAGTCATTTATGAAATTCCTAAATCATTATGCTGTATTATCTGCTGCTAAATATAGCATTGAATTGATGCTCCTTTGGACTGGAGTTACAGAGTACAAGTCTTAAAAGTGGATCTGATCTAGAGGGAATAAGCTAATGGCACCAGTACTTTAAACCAAGCAACATAAAATGCCTTTTGGTTATTAGGCACTTTGCCGCAACCAGGGACTCTGATTTACTGTTGCAACTTTTACACAAAGATTTTGAGTTTACATATTGTCTCCTTCTTCTTGCATAGACTAAAATAACAGTGCAATACCCAAGTAATCTCAAATACCAACTTTTAAGGAGGTGAAAAAATATTTGTTGCTTTTCTAATTTTAATATAACTTAATTTAATCACATTGTGATAAAAACCCAAAAGTGCTATGGTTCACATAATAAAAAAATGTGTATGTGTTTTAAAATATGTAAATAAAACAGAAAAAAACATACATAAGGTAAATACATATGTACATATAGCAATAATTTCAAAATGCTTTAGGAAACTTTGTGAAAAGAATGAAATGAAAATATTTACTTAAAATAATATTAATTATTATAATATTATTTAATCTTCTGATTTATTTATTCAATAATATCATTTGTTTAATTTATTTTTTCTATTAGTTAGTTTCATCGGGACATGTTTGCATGTGTTGTACAGCTTTATGACTTGTTTTTTTGTTTTTACTTAACAATATAGTTAGTTTTGAAAGATGCTTAATATCTTCATTTTTTATGAAAACAAAGAAAAACTTGAGTAAATACGGAAATCCATCACCAACTACCAGGTATAACAAAATCACTGTGCTTCATCTAAAATGTCCCTGTGGAGGATGTTACATTATGGACCTGAGTGCTCAATTATTCAGTGAAGCCATTTTGAAGAAGCAGCAGGTGCTTTCCCAATGATTGGTCCCTACTTTGCAGTTTCACATATCAGTTCATTACTATTTAAAATAAACTTTTAAACCCTGACTTCCTGCACCTGAATGGATCTCTCTGTTCCTAAATCTCAGCAGAATGGGGAATAAACAAACAGCTCTGATGAAAATTCACATGAATATGAGAAAACGGAAAATAACCTGTCATAATCTTTTTCACAGTTGCTTAGCAACAAAGAATGAGTAGAGCTCAAAAGGGCGAGCGGTCGTCAGCCAGTCAGAAGAAAGTCGGTGGTTTGATATCAGACTGGAGACTTAAAGTGTTGAAAAGTCCTTAAAGACACAGGTCTCTGATTTGTCTCTTCGCCTTATCGCTCTGCATGTGTCAGTGAAAAACACAACACGGTTTAAAAAGATGAATGTTTCTGTGACTGTGTGAGTGCAGCTTTTAGTGTCTTCAAGTCTTCTAGATGTCAAAAAGACAAGAAAAGAGCAAAATAAATGTAGTCCCTTTATGGTTTAGCGACTACCTGAAGTAAATACAGCTGGAATCAGACATTTACAGAAACTGTATAAAATCAGTGTTTATTTTTGCAGAGGACTAGTTGGGCCAAACAGCTTGATATTTGCTAAATACATTAATGATAAGAAATATATTTACTTTCTTTAAATGCAGACATTTACAAATGTTTTAGCCATCCTTCCACAAGTTTCCTTTTCTTTTACAAACCAATGTGTAACGAATTTGGTTGCATGCTTATAGGGTCATTGACTACGTGGAAGATCCATACATGAAGTGTACCTGTTGCAGCAAAACATCTCCACATCATGATGCTGCCAGCACCGTACGTCGCAGTGAGGATGCTGGTCTCAGGTTTGCAACCTGCCTGCTTTTCCCTCCAAATATAATAATGACTATTATGGCCCAAACTCCAATTCCAGTTCCATCACAGGACATGTCTTCAAAAAATACAGTCTCTGGCTGTAAGTGCATTTAAGCTATTTGCATAATGCTTTTGGAGTAATGGTTTATTCTACTGTGAATGTCTGATTGCTCAATTAGAAAAAAAGGTGTATTTGTTTCCTCATTAGAAGAGATTGTTTAAAACCAGGAGACTCACCTTCATGACAGGCTGAGCAAAATACTTGGCACTCCAGTCACACAGGCCTGTTTGCAGGGCCAGACTCACGTAGTTCCTGTGACCACCCGGCTCCTCACCATCTTCAGCTGCCTGAACCCGCGCACAAGAACACATGCTCAACGATAAGAAGCTTTTCTCCAGTTAATAGCCGATTTTCCCACAACAGTTTCTTTTCCTTCACCTGTTCTGGTCCCTTGTCAAACATCTTGCGTGTGCGGGGGAACTGGTGTGAGTGGGGTGCCTGTCCTCCCAGCGTTGGGGTGTAGGGGGGCCGTGTTGCTGGCTGCTCTCTGGCAGGGGGCTTGGGGACTTCATTGGTCAGACTGGAGCTGCTGGTACTGGGCATGGGCGGAGAGCCGCTGGAGGAACAGTGATGCAATGAAGATGCATTTAAAAGTCACAACAAAAATCAACATCTAAATCAATCATGATGTCCTCACCCTGCCTGATGGATGTGCGTGCCTTTGCTGGTGGGACTGGCCGGCGCCGACTGAGTCAGAGATCCAGAGTCCAGGATCCTCTGAGGTCTGGCGTTCATGGTTGCCTGGTGAGAAAAACAAGCATTTACTGCAGGGCTGTTCTTCAAATTTGAGAGGTAGAAACCTGTTCTCATAGTTTTCAACTGTTTCAAAGGCTAACATCATTTTGTTTGGTTTAGAAACACACATAACACACAAACTCTGATTATCACCTCCAGCTGCAGCACTCAGAAGTGCAGCACTTTACAAACTTTGCCTAAATTTCAAGAAGTTTATCTCATTAGGTGAAGCAGGTAATATTGCCTCTTCATTGTGAGTTGTCTAACGATGGTGTGCGAGGGAGGGGTAAACCTAATAAGGACAATGGAGGTGAAGCATCACTGATGAATAGTAGAGTTGTTGTTTACTGGAGCTCGGTGCAGAGAAAACTGGGCTACTTAAATCTTGTTAGCACAGGCAAACACATTTCACTGGCTGGCATTGGCTAGGATTTGATTTCTATGCTAATTACCGGATTGTAGCAAACATCTTTTGTTGTTTGTGCATATAACACGCTGGAGGGGGGCAGAGCAGCTTAATGTAAGAGCTACACATTTTCTATGAAATCTACAATGTTTGTGACAGAGGAAAGAGATCTGATATGAGATATGAGCAATGCATCAAGAAGCCATTAGTGTGAGACAGATTTAATAGAGATTCTGTGGAAGTGGAAAAGTAGATAAAAAGCTAATGGGAAGCTTTCTTTTTTTTCTCGTGTTGATAAGACGTTGTATGGCTAAGAAAGCACAAATGGATTTTTGAAGAAAAAAAAAAACTGAATCTACAGCAAGCACAAACAGATTTACCAGGAAAATATGAAGGTATCCTTAGAGAACAAAAGACGAACCAAACAGGTGATATAACCTGTTTACCTGAAAACTCATTGGGTAATCTGACCCAGTCTTGCAACTTATACATGGATCCTTAATTGAAGAAGCATCACACAAACGGGGCAGAACACACACCTCCTCTTGCTTTACGCAGAGTTGTTGGTAAACTGGGGTAATCGTTTCCACTAGACTCTCTACTTCCCACTGGGAAATTCCCCCACTGAGAGCTTGTTCTGCCTCAGCAAGATCCATCTCCAAATACTGTGTTGAAACTCAGTCAATCCAGGCCAATAATTTATCCAAACTAATCCCAGAACATGTTTCCTCTATGAATGAGCATAAGCTGCAGTAGGACATGGCTGAGGTGTCTCTCAGTTGAATATCTTATACCACCTTGCAAATTAAATGCATGTCATGTTTGTAAAACAGAACTTAAAAAATTAAAGAGAGGCACAGTGGCAGTGAATCAACATTTATCTGACAAGCTACACTAAAGATTTATGTTTAGAAATATGAAGCAATGAAACATAAAATGCAAACAAAGTCTAATATTTCAGAAAATATTGACATTAATCAAATATCAATAAGAAGGAAAATAGCTGGACACTACACATAGAAAAAAAAATTCAATGCATTGATCACCTGAGAAGCAAGTAAATCTTAATTAGCTTCTGACTTTGTTCACTTAGTTAAAATCAATAACATTTGAAAGTCAAAATCCTAATTAAAAGAGCTGGATTCTCTGTTAAGCTGATGTTAACACTTGTGAACCTAAGAGAAAATGATTAGGATGCCTTTGCTCAAGTCTTTGCAGGAAATAAATCAACATGTACTCCATCTATGGCAGAAGTCAGCAGCCTTTACATTCTGTTGTCACTGCTACGGAATAAAATTGATCAAAGTTGCAAAATCTACCTGACAGAGAAATCGGCTGGTGATCGAAAAATTATTTGGTGACTGAATGTAACGGATGTTACAGCATAAAAAATATTTTTTCAATCTGTGGGCTAGAGTTGGATTACAACAACACTCTTCCATGTGGATGCTGTCACTGAGGACTCAAAGTTATTTCTTTTAAGTAACAGAGAAGTGTTTAAAAAAAAAGCAGTCAGGTTTTCAATATCACAAGGCCAATAATTTATCCAAACTAATCCCAGAATGATTAGTCAGAACACAATTAAGACTGACGGACTGTATGCTGCTTTTGAATCTGATGTCAAAGGATGAAATAACGGTTTTGAAATGGTCAATAATGAGCGAATGTTTTTAAGTCATAAAAATCAGCCATTTTAACAGGAATGTGTAAACCCTTGAACTTAAGTACCAAAACAGTCATTACTGACACAGTAGGATGTCCTGCAGATTATTAAGTGACTAGTTTTATATTATAGAGTGAAATATAGCAAAATATAGATCTATAATTTGAATTTTTAACCTTGTTAGAAACACCAAATTGCAGCGCAGTAACAGCTTTGATCTTACAATAGCTGCCAACTTCTACCTTATTATTTTTGCAATGATGAGTCATTGAGTCTTCACATTATCAGAAACCTTAACCACAACAAACCTTGTATGCGATGCTATTGAGCACTTTCATGGCCAAATCTGAAACTTCTGGGAACGGATCTGCGGCTAGGTGGAGCAGCACTCTCCATATCTGAGTATAAACACTGTTGAAGGACACACCTGGAAAGGATACACAGAAAGAGACAGGTTCAGACATTTCACCAAACAATAAAAACACAACAGATGAACTGGAGATGAAAACCACATATTTACAGCTGTTAAAAAAAAATACATAAGACGACATGACCCATTCTGTTGTTATCACACAATTCAGCATGCAGGTTCCAGAGATGAACGTGTTTGGATATGAAACATGCACATCAACCCCAGGATAAAAGAAAAAATATTTTGTGAAGAAGCTGGATGAACCTGGTAGGAAATTGTTGTTATTCATAGTGCAATTACTGTGATCTAAAAATTGTAGTTACAATTAGAGGAAAAATGGAGAAGTGTGCAAGCCTAAGAGCACTTTGAAATAGAGGAGTAGCAGCATTATATTGTGTTGCACTTCACCAAATTCTAACTTGTCTGTTATAAAAGCTGAGAAGGTGTGTCAGCATGAAGGTCTACAAACATGAGTCAATTACAGCAGTTCTGTCAGGAGGAATGAGACGACATTCCAATGAGTCACTGGACAGAATATGCTAAAGTTTGACTCCACTCATACAGTTTAAAGGGAAACTCTACCAAATACTACGGAAATGTATTGCTAACCTCTAAATTTTTGTGTTCTAGCATTTATGGAACAAATACTTCACCATAACTTAGCAAATACAAGAAACTCTTCGTCTGCTTTAACGCAAACCGAGAGATTTCCATCTTTGTGGCCATATCAACATCTCTAAGCAGATTATAAATATTCAACATAAAAATAGATCTCGATAGCCTGGAGATGGTATATAGTAGAGAAGGGCCTTTTCATTTTCTACTCCTTATTTGGAGTCTTCACCAACCAACCGTGTTAAAAACCTGCCTTAAGTGGGGAGTTTTACTTCCTTTCACTCATTTCTTTCTTGCTTCGTTTTGTCTCCAACTTATTAAACTTCTCGTCTTCCTCCTCCTCAGTTTCAGGTTGCTTAAGAGATGCTCTAATAAGTCCTTTCTCTCTTTTGTGTCCAGTTTAAAGTTGATTCTCCTTCACTTTCCTCCCTTGCAGATGTTTCTGCCCATGTATGTGCTCCTTCTAAGTACATAAATGGCAAAAAACCAGGAATAATTTAAGTCTGGACCCAGTTACTGAGGACACCCCTCTCCAAAGAGGACTTGGCGGAACAATCACTAGTAAAAATAAACCAGGAGGGAAAGTGGTAGAGGGATAGAATGTGATTAGCAAGGGAGCTGCTGCAGTAAATAGATAGTGGGACAAAAAGCAAAGCGTGACTGCTTTACATCATAAGAGCAAACAAATTAAAACTGTACTGACTCTACAGATAGCATCATGGTGAATGTGAAGCTGCAGCACGTCCTTATCCATCACTCATGTCATTTGAGCAAAAGTGAAATAAATGTGAAGTCATAAAGATGTTAAAGTGCTAACTAAATGACTCACTGCATCTCCTTTTATAGTGCCTCCAAATTTCTTGCAAATGGCTCAAATTACAGTTAACACACCGCAGGGACTTTAGGGGCCTTAAGCGCTGCAACATAAAAAATAGTTCCAAGATGTTTTTAAAGCATCCCTGAAGCTCCACTGCAAAAAAGCGCCATATTGTAGATGCTGTATGATGCATTTAAACTTTAAACGGAAAACACATCAAATCCACCAAGTGGATATAAACCCCTGAAAAAAATAATAGTCAATTCAGATCCAGAATGTTTCAAAACGTAAATACTGGCATAAAATCAGATGCATTCAACATTTATGTCAAACTGTTAAGCTTAAAACTGTTCATGTTGGAAGAATAATCCAGATAAATATTGTCCACTTAATGTCAAACCCTAGTGTGTAAATCATCGTTCCAAATATATGCTTAGAGTGCTGATAGCTATTCTTATCAATTATATTGTGTATCCTAGTGTATTAAGTGCCATATTAGTCAATACTTTGCTTTTAAAGAGACAATTTATGTGCTGTTGAGAAATAACAGCTTGAGAACTTCTATATTCTGTCTATATCCTTCCATTGGTTTTAGCAGCTTTTATTGCCAATATAAAGCAGTTTCTTGTGTCTGAATATTTACACATCAACGAATAGATGGGTTGAACCAGCACTGTGTGTTCTGGATGTTTTATCAATTAGCTTGGGTAGATTTGCTCCGGATGACAAACTTGCCATGTTTTCTACAAACCAGCAGTGCACAGACGAACTGATAATACATTGAATTTGAAGGCAACAATGATGTCAGTCAAAGACCTTCTTTCTGGCTATTTTTCACATCCCTTGAACCTAATTGTTTCTCTTTAACATATTTTATATGTGAGCTGAAGTTTTTTAACCCAAGAAATTGACATTATGACCTGGAGTGGCTCTCTTGTACATTAGATGAAGAAATAAACAGTTTATTTAAAATAGCATCTTTTAAATTTTAGTATACTCCATCCAAGTGTAATTTTGAAAATAGCTTCTTTTAAATTGTTTATATAACCTTAAAAAGAGTATTCACTTAATTACAGCAGCTGCAGCTAGATTTATGTGAGACTCATTGCAGAGTCACCCAGCTGGAACTTAGCGGGGGTTTAGAGATAAGGATGGAAAGCTCCTCTACATTCAAGGTTAGTTTCGGTTTTCTTGTTGCAATTCAACAAGTCAATACAACATACTTTTCAAACTTTGTGGTAGATTAATCTTTGTTCTTTTGAAAGCTTTTATTGACGTATGAGCAGTTTTTATTGACGTCACATCCATGGAAATTATACGCTGTACTTCATTGCAGGAGATAATAGTTCTGTAGTTATCTGTGAAAGTTGTGTCAGTACATTAAACAACGAACATCTATGTGATTACTTTATGTTTTAACCAAACAGAGGTTTAAGTCAGATGGAAAAGATTCTGTATTTCTGTACATCACTAATAATCCAATTTGCTTTGGATTTATAGTTTGAAAAAATACAAAATCTGGGATGGATGATGAGGATACAGATCGATGAACAGACGGGTAAACCATGGATAACTCAACAAATTAGGTGATAGATGGGTAATCAGTGCATTAACAAATCATTAACAGATAGATGAATAGATGACTGGAAAAACCATGGGTTATTGTACAGGTAGATGAAAGAAACACTGATAGATGGATGGAAGAAATAAAACTGTGGATGGCAGGATGAATAGGTGGATGACAGACTAACAGACAGAAGCAAGAAATAATTATATAACATTTAAAAAATGGAAATGAAAACCTTTTCATGCTAACCTCTGACATGAAAAGTCAGAGTCAGAGGTTAGCATGACTGTTGTTTCCACTCTGATCAACATATTTGAAATCTTTATATTAAAATCAGAATTTATTTCAACTGTGTGGGACCTCTGCATCTACAATATCCTTATATTCTATTCTGCATCCAGGATAATGGACAAAACTGAGCTTTAGCTTCATTTTTCAAAACAATAGTGCCTAACAGAGACAGCAGTGTGGTCTCCACAGTGTGGTAGGGTTTGTACAAATGATAGTAGAGGGAAGTTAATAAATCACTTTACTCCAACTCTGCCCTCCCACACAGCTTTGCTGTCCTGCTGCTCTCCGGCAGTCCGGTGTTGAGCAGAGGCCGCAAACAGCATTTATGGCTTCAATTTGCTCCAAACCGCTGCATAACACGCAGGCCCTCACTTCTTAGTTTGCTCATATAAAATGGATATCAAAAGAGGGAGCAATTTAGAAGTTTTCAGGAGAAGGAAAACAAAGCTAAGTGGGTTTCATGAGAACAACTTCAAGCCAAACAAGAAAGGAGTGAAAGAACAAAAAATCAGACTGATGAGTGAAGGATCTGATGAACTGATAGATGATTTCTGGTCGCAACACAATGGACAAAAAACAAACAAAAAAGAATAAAAATATCAACTTAGATGATATGTAGTTCATGCTCTATGAATGCAGTCTGTTTGCTTATGCATGCAGCCCCATGCAAGGTGTGAGTTCAAACAGGCTCACTGGGAGGCCAGGACTCTGCGGCTGGCACAGAGCTGAGTGGGCGAGGGGCCAATATGTCTTTTAACCTGCTTACCAGCAGAACGTGGCTTGAAAAAGGTTTAGAATGAGCATCAAATAGTTGATTTGTTGGATGAAAGCGAAAGAGCAAATGTTGTGCCAAACTGTAATTAGTGTTTCTTTCATCAAACATTAATTTTCAAGGCTTTAAAGTCGAGTGTTTTGAAAAGACAAACCCACAATTTCAGCAAGAGGTGATGACTGACAAAATGCTCAGCTTAAATTTGGATTTTTAAGATTCGGTTTAAGTGATTAAAGTGTTTCCTGAAGAAAATGGAAAGGAATGCCCTGAATGAGTTTCAGGGAAAAAAAATTGTAAACATAGTTACACAGCACTTTGTATTGAAAAAATTGCAGAGAAAAAAAAATTGCATATCAGGTAATGATATGAAGCTATGCAAACAAAACAGCTGGAATTAATTTAGGGTGGAACTGAAAAAAAAAGTGCTGGAAAAAAAACTACAATATCTAGACTTTTATTATAAGTGAATTTAAGATTTATGTTTTGATTGCAAACATTCAAAGTTAAAATTACAAAACTGAACATAACACAGCAGTGGAGAACATAGAGAAAAGTGCAAATTAGGAAGAAAAAAAAACAAGTTTTATATTTCTACTGTTGAGGTGGTGGGAACTATTATTTAGCTATTATTTAGTGGCCGCCTGAGCATACAGTCAAGCCCTCTAAACACCAGAGAGCCATAGACAGAGGAGGGAAGATCAAGAAAAGCACTTTAATGTCCTTCATGCTCCTCCCTGATGATCTTTACACTTTGTTTATCCCGACTGTTGTTTGGAAGCAGTGACTCTCCTTTGGGATGCCCAAAGGTCCCAGTCTCTCCAAAGTGCCTTCATCCTCTACTGTTTGTAATTGTCTGTCTGGTTAAAACCAGTAGCAGCTGCTGTCCAAGCTGCAGCATCATAGAGGTTTAGGGCGAATGCACTGTGATTATTTTAATCAACGCACAAAATCCTGCGCTAAACTGCTGCAGGTTTAATGCAACAGGAGTTTATTGCTTCACTTTTCACAAAACTAGTGTATTTTTTTTGTTAAATCAACTTTGATTTCTGCATAAATATAAAAAAACCCCACATTTTTCATATGATTGTTCAAATATCCCTTCAACTCAGTAGCAGTTCTTGCCTGGATGACAGCCTGTATTTATGAACACAAACCACATTCAACTACCATTGACAGCTCTGTGTTTTACTGAAACAGGGATGTGCTGCAATGTTTGGTTTGGTTTAACCATTAATACTGATACAAACTAAGAACACTCAATAAGTTAGTTTAAGCAATGAAATATTTAATATATAGGTTATATTTGGACGAGATAACACAAATTAAAACATACATTTATTTTCCAATCAAATATGATTGGAATCAACAAGCTTGGATATTGTGAGGGGTTTGCAGTGCATCAGGGATATTAAAGCTGCAGCCAGTAAACTAAAGTGTGATTCAGACATAACTGTGAGCAGCTGAAACAAGCAGACAGTGAAGCCTTTGTAAAACTGAGATGTTTGGTATGCTTGACTGTTCTTTGATATCAACTCTGATTGAAGCTTTAGGAAGAATAAGCTCCACAATGAAGGGAACTTTAAAGACTGAACAAACTTTTAAAACTGGAAGCAGAAGAGCAGAACATAAAAAAAAGCTTCTTGAAGAGAAGCTTGACTTTGAAGCATGGTTTTTTTCTGTATTATTGCTACATAAAACCAGCTTTCTGTTATATGTGTTGTTTTGTAAGATGCCATCTGCCTAAATCAAAGAGATCTCCTCCAGAATCCATATAACGTGACAAATTTACCCAATTTAAGTAGGGAATCTGAACCAATCTACTGTCCTGAAACTGGGATGGTTATTACCTATAAGGGAGTTTAGGGAGGAATATGAAGAAACCCGCCGCATCTTGTCGATGGTTTCAAATGAGAGGATGTACTCGTCGTTGTCGGGACTCCCCAGCGTGCTGCTGGCACTGCTGCTGGTACTCAGGTTACCAGGAGAGAATGCTGCTGGACCGCCTAAAGAGCAGAAATTGAGAAAAGTGGCATTTATTACTCCAGTTGCTGCTGGATAAATTGTAAAATAAAAATAAAGGAAACCATATTACATCCCAATAAGTAAGGAAACATACTTGTCCTCGGAGAATAACCCCTCATAACTTTATGTGAGCTTTCCGGTCCAGGCATGAGCTGCCGTAGCTCACAGTCCCCCCCAAACATTACTCTGACTAATACAAGCTCAAATGTCATGCATCCTCCTTACCAACCACAGGCTGAAATGTGAGAATGGAGATTGGTAGAGAATAAAGAGCTGCTCTGCTCGGAGCTCATTGATGATAAACACCCCTGCACATCTGAACGAGCACCGAGAAGGTGAATTAGAAATGGTGTCAGCAGTAGGTTAGGCACTTCACCGAGCGCTGGTGATTTAGCACTACACGCAGCTCATGCATTACTCAGTGTGGCAGCGCTGGTTCGGAGGGGAGCACGCCTGGCTTTGGCTGCCTGAATCCCCGAGAGGTGACAGAAACACAGAAGGCTGGGAGTGACAGCAGACTGGTGTGTGCTTGGAAAGTTGTGGGAGGAAATGTTAGACTGACATTTCTACAGCTGGCTGTAAATGGGATCATTTGTCTTTATTCGGAACCTATTTTAATGAACAAAACGATTAAACCTTTTCAGCCTGATAAATACAGCTGCAGGAGGCTATATGATATCAACATTTAACTAAAAAAGGAAGATAAAAATGTAAAAAAGGTAAAAATATAAATAAAAAAGAAGGAACTTGAGTAATTTAGAAGGATGACAATCAGGAGGTGTTCTGCTCCAGTTATCTGTTTTTCAGCGAGGAGGGCAGCGTTATGTATTTTCCAGGCACATAGAGCCTTTTTATAGCAGAGTCATGTAACTATGTTATCTTCAGTTGTTATGGCATTACTTTATAAATCAAATTACTCAATCATAGCCTTATCTGATGTCTTAAAATCAGGCCTTGAGGCATGTAGAATAATGTGTTCAATAATGTGTTCCTTCAAAAGTCCCTAACATGCTCACCATCCACTCCAAGGTATCTTTCTTATCAAGTTAAAAATGCAGAAATAACATTCAGTAAACGACTACCAACTAAATTTTCAATGAAACTCAACAATTTTCAAGAATTATTATTCATTCACAGGAATATAATACTTCATATTTCAACAGTCATGCAACCTCTAATCCCAAAAGAAATGTCTCAACCCTACAGCACCATGGACAGCTCAGCTTTTCCAAGCACAATCTGAATGAGGAAAATAACACTGCAGCTCTTTTTATTGAATGTTCTCAGCGAATTCAGTAAATATGAAATCATGTTCTTAGTAGAGCTACCCTGTCAATAATAGCTAAGAGGAAAACTGCAAACTATTTCCATTCAATAAGATAAACAGAACTGCCTCATATAAAAAACAAAAGAAGGATCACCACATATTGAACTGGAAATTAAGTGGATGGGAAAATGTTGTACAAAAAGACAAATAAACCCATTTAAGTACAGGACTAAAAATTTTAAAATTGGTATTTTGAACTAGCTCTGGAGAATTTGAAGAGTGGTTGGGGGACTGAAGGTACAGAAGAAATTAATGTGTAAAAAAATCATTTTTATTACTACAATACATTTTCATGAATACTTGGACTAATGTGTCAGGTTCTGTGCTCTGCCTGGATACGAGGACTGAACTGGGTGAAAAAGCTCCCCAATGCAAACTCCACCATAGTCTCTTTCTATCGTTATTGCATGAAGACTGTAGATATTTTAAATATATAGCTGCACAACATTATAAAACACCTAATTGTAATGCCATCACAAAATAATAAACACACATAATAAATGTGTGCTTATTGTTATAAACACACATTTTCCTAATTCTTTCTGTTTTTAGATTGATTAAAATATCCCTGCTGAATTCGAATGGCTGGCACTCAAATAATAATTTCCTCCCAAATATTTAATCTGAGTAGCACTATGTGATTGCAAAACAGCAAAATCTGAAATCGCAATGGCAAGTGCTACGCAGTATATTGTGGACCATAAATTACGTCTGAAGAATTTCATTTCTGGGTTTTTCTCATTGAGAAAATAAATTTTGGTAATTTTATTTCCCTCCTGCTTTTAATCTCAGATTTTCAGCATCCATCTCTCTCTCTCTCTCTGTCATACCTTCTTCATTCAAGTTGAGGTTCTGTAGACTTTTGTTCAGATTGCGGGCGGTGGTTACCGCTCGGATATTGGTGTACGAATTGACGGATCGCAGACGAGGGATGGCCGGGCTGTCTCTCACTGGAGTCATGTTGCCGGGTTCTGATTGTCAACAGAGACAGAAGAAAAAAAATATGTTATTGATGTTTGAAACTGAAAGACAACACCTTCTGCTGCTCTCATTTTTGGTAAAGTGTGTGAATTTTAAATGAACTTGTAAAACTGGAGAATATTTCCTTAGAAAAAATCCAGCAACCAGAAATGTTAGAGCACTGTACAGGTCCATTAAACTATTTGATTTGCTCCTCTTTTTGTTGTTAGTCTAATGCTTTAAAGAAGCATATTGAGAAATTAAACTCAATATGCTCCATAAGCATATGGTTTACCACATAAAAGTATTCCCAACACACCTGCCTGTGCAGAAACTCTAGCTTTAGATCTTATCTCTTCCTTAAATTTACTCAAAAACCTGTGATGGATAAATGGAGGACATGATCTACAAAGCACACTTAACCCCCAGCTTTCTATTTTGCAACATTTCAAATAATACCAAATAGTACAGTTGATTAAATTTTGGTGAAAGAAAAAAATCTAATTGTGGGTTAGACATTGCACATCTTCAGACAAGATCAGCTTCAAATCACCTGCAGCATTGGCTGGTGATGGCACGACGTAGTTCTTCTCTTCTTCTATGAACTGGAGGGCAACTGTGCAGAAGTTGCTCTCATACTGGACCACCAGGTGACTCAGGGCTACCACCAGCTCCTGAGAAACACCAAAAACAAAACATCTCAGCTAAGTTTTTGCTTCCATGAAATCCAAGATGAAGTTGCATTTCATGTGTGATTGGTGATTAGTGTGATTGTGCAGCAGAGACCTTGCGGACCACAGGGCTGCCATCGTTGATGAGTTGAGCCAGCATCATAGCCACGTTGTGGTCGATGGTGGTGGAGTGGTCGGTCCTTTCAGCAGAGTTTCCAACAAATGTTCCCAGAGCAAACACAGCAGCACATCTTACCTGCAATTAAATAAAGATGACGAACCTCAACTTTCTGTTCAGCTGGTGTGTTATATAACGCTGTGAGCACAACTCTCAGACTTTTAAACACTTTTCTTCACATTTAAGACACACAAAACTGACAGAATGCCAAGTGAGACCAATAAATAAAAGTTTTAGAAGTAATTAAACACGAGTTTGTCTACCAGCGTCAGAGTAAAATGTGAAGATCATCTGAGCTGCAAGTATCTATTAGCTAATAGACAGTATAGTATCTCATTTCTCTCTTTCCGCTTCAGTAGATGTTTAATCTAAACTCGGCGTCGCCCAGAGAGGATTCTGCATTAGCGACTGATGTCATAAACCAAACCAAATTACAGCCCAAGAATTAATATTTTTCTGAGTGGTTTATGATGGCAACACAAAGCTTCATGACTGAAACAGAAAGTGTTGTTGATGTATTCTGCAGTCACTTCAGCCCTTTCTTTGTCATGTAGTTTAAACCGACAGGAACAGTATGAAGGAAACATTTAGCAGTTTTGAATTTGTGATATTTTAAAACCTTGGTTTTCTTTCATACCAGAAACCCGACCTTGCTTACTAATCATGCAGGCTATCTGCAAAATTAAAATGAGACTTGGTGTTGAAGTTACCGACAGCTCCCAGAGAGACAGAATAATATGCCTCTGGTCTTAAAGGTGTATTACGCAAATGTAAGAACAGAAAGTGCAGTCTTTTGTGGATCTCAGAAATCTTTGCATTAGAGAGAGAAGAAGCCAATTTTATATTTCATTTTCCTTCCATGGAAGCCTACCTAACGGAGGACGACAGTTATAATTCACACAGGTTTGTCAAAGCCAGGCAAAGCTACAGAGTCAACACAGACTAAAATCTCAGAGCAAGTAAATGCAATATGTACCTGACAAAGTGGCTGGTGAGTGCATGACTTGGTAAGTTTTTGTGAAATTCAGTTCAGTCATATTTTAGGCAGGGTGATTGTCAGACAGGCATCTGAACCATAAGACCTTCCAGGTGATGTTTTACTGTTTTACTGTTTTACTTGTCCTATCACAGGTATCAAGAGGTCTTTGGTGTCTTCTTGTGAATTTTTTGGAGACCTCTGTCAGAATGAAACAATCCTTAGTTGCCTCAAGAGTTATTATTAATTTGAAGCTTTAGTGAAAGAAAGTTTTATGCCTTTGAAAGAGAAACCCTGGAGAAATTGGACACTTCATGGTCAGTGACTTCAGCCTCAGGCCTCCTCAATGCCACTTGATAACAGAAAGGGGTTTGTTGCAGCCAAAGAAAATGTTATCATTTTCTGAAATTAAATTTAAAAAGTAGAAAAAATAAAAACTTTTTCCCATTTAATGCACTTTGTCCTTGACTGGATTTAACAAGGCAACAGTACATCTGAAAATATGTCTCCAAATATTTTTGTCAAACTAAAATTCGTTCACAGCTAAAAATTAAAACTCAATTTTTAAAATTTTTTTAAAAGAAATTTGTTTAATTGAAGACCATGTCTTCCATGTGTGCTGCTGGGAAGTTGCGAACTCTGAAAGCGTGAATGTCTTCCTACTTTAACTTTTTTAAACTTGACTATCTACATGACTATCTACAACTTAAAGTTGTAGATAGTCATAAATTTATGCGGCACTTATTTTCTGTGCAGACTATGAAAAATCAACACAAAAAGTCAAATTTCCACCACAGAGGAGGACATTTTTTTATTTCCTACAGTCATTCTTAAACCCCCCAACTAAAAAAATTAAATAAAATAAAAAAAATAAAACGATTTACCCTGAATACAATTGATATCTACATTACAAAAGATTTGTGTTTGATTCCAAAACAGAGATTGATATCTACAATGTGCCCTTTTTAAACATACAAATGTCTAAAATGCAAGATTTATCTGGGGAAAAAACCCCCAAAATCCCTCTGCAGCCCTCACCAACAAAAAATGTTATATTGTTGGAGCAAAAGCCTGAACATGCAGTCGAGGCTGTGAGTGTTTTCTGCAGACCTCAATTTCAACCCTGCAGATAAAACAGCTGCCAGGGAGGAGGTTTCTTCTGGAAGCAGCTGTTTCTCCAGCAGCATCTGGGTGAATGTTGGGGTGATCTCTGCACACTGTTCTCTGGTGTCCATGTATGACCCAGTAAGGTGCTGGAGCTCCAGCTGCAACATGAAGGATGTGGGTCTAGCTGGACAGAAGAGCGATCTACTTACTGGGAACATGAAGGATCACTGTGTGACAACATCTGATCGTAAAACATTCATACGGCGGTTCCCGGCTCCCTGGAGTTACAGAACGGTTTGTTTCTGTGTTCAGTAGAGCATGTAAGGGCTAAAGATGTACAAGACTCAACAAATGTTCCTTTGGTATTTCTTCAAACAATTTCTTGAAACATATTGCAATTTTTATGTCCATAAACTTTCACAAGCAGAACCATTTCCATCACAATAAGCCTAAAGTCTACTGTATTTTGCTAAAATCTTAGTTTTCTGTGCTCATAAAAATTTGTTCAGTGTTATAATACAAAGACAGATGGACAGAAATGCATGTAATATACGAGAAACTGTATTTGTCCTACTGATTTTCTTTCATGCCTGACACTAGCTTCAGATTTAGATGTTGCTGCTGGTATAAAAATTTTATCATTAAAAATCCAAAATAAAACAAACGTTTTTATAGAGTTTTTCTTCTCATTTTAATCAACCAGCACTTATTTGTATATTTTTTTCTTACGGTATTAAAGTATTAATAGAAACAAGGAGAATAAAAGGACAATAAAAAATAAGAAGTCAGAATGTTAACTGTGCTCATGAAACCAGCTTCTTCCTCAAACTGCAGGACATTACTCCCGGCTTCATCTTACTTAATTGTTTTCAAATTGATATATCAGACCAATTTGAAATATTGATCTGATGTATCATATGTCAGATTACTTGTAACGTTTTGAATGACCTTCAGTTTAATAAAAATTGTGGGTTGCAATTACTGGCACCTCTGGTAAAAAGGTGCCAGAGGTTCCATTTTACCAGAGCTCATCAGACCTTATGATGAGCCCAAGAGAGCAGAGAATATCAGACGACCAAGCACTCTGGATGACCTGGCGAGGTTGTGCAAAGGGGAATTATCCAAAAGATTCCTCTAACTGGCTGCAAATCAAATATAAAAGTAGAAAACAGTTCTGTCATGTTGACAGAATGAAGTTGTGTAAAGTAATAACAGCTGGTGTATAAAGAATTCTTGCACTGGTAGTTTTTAATAAAAAACTATTATTCCAGAATGAATTTGTGGCGGTGCAATAAAACATTAATTTATGTGGAGGGTTTTACATGTATTGTATTTTACCAGGGGTGAAGATGAATGTATCTGGCACTATGTCTCATTTAGCTATTAGCCATATTCTGACCACCATTATTCATAGAGCTCATTTTTATGACTTTTTCATACAAGAGCCCGCAAAGGAATTTCAAAGTTTAACTACTCTTAAACTTTGTCCTACACAGCTTTTTGTGATGTCGTTGAAAATGTTTGACATTTATTTCACATGTCTGGTTTCTCAGCTATCATCTTAGTGCAAAAACAGGAAGAAAATCAAGGTAAAACTGTTCTGTCTGCTAAGTTTAGCTCATTTTAAGCCAGAACACAAACAGAGCACAATGACTTTATATATATATATATATATATATATATATATATATATATATATATATATATATATATATATATATATATATAAAAAAAAAAAAAATTCCCTTCTCACCCACCGCGGGTGGTTCTTATCCTCTGAGCTCGGGTCCTCTACCAGAGGCCTGGGAGCTTGAGGGTTCTGCGCAGTATCTTGGCTGTGCCAAGGACTGCACATTTCTGGACTGAGATGTCTGATGTTGTTCCTGGGATCTGTTGTAGCCACTGCTCCAGTTTGGGGGTTACTGCCCCGAGGGCCCCGATGACCACAGGCACCACTGTGGTCTTCACCTTCCAGGCCCTCTCCAGTTCCTCCCTGAGGCCCTGGTATTTCTCTAGTTTCTCGTGCTCCTTTTTCCTGATGTTGCAATCACTTGGTATTGCTACATCTACCACAACGCTTTCCTCTGATGTTTATCCACTACGACAATGTCTGGTTGGTTCGCCATTACCATTTTGTCTGTCTGGATCTGGAAGTCCCACAGGATCTTAGCTCTGGCGTTCTCCACCACCTTTGGGGGTGTTTCCCACTTTGATCTTGGGGTTTCCAGTCCATATTCTGCACAGATGTTTCTGTACACTATGCCTGCCACTTGGTTATGTCGTTCCATGTACGCTTTCCCTGCAAGTATCTTGCACCCTGCTGTGATGTGCTGGACTGTCTCAGGGGCCTCCTTGCACAACCTACACCTTGGGTCTTGTCTGGTGTGGTAGATCTGGGCCTCTATTGCTCTGGTGTTTAGGGCCTGTTCCTGGGCTGCCAGGATGAGGGCCTCTGTGCTGTCCTTGAGTCCCAGCTTTTTCCAGCCATTGGTAGGATTTACTGATATCAGCCACTTGGGTTATTTGCTGGTGGTTACATCCCATGTAGGGGTTTGTCCTCCATGATGGTATCTCTGGCACCTCAACCTCCGTTCCCTGTTGTCTAGACATTCACTGAGCACATTGTCTGTTGAGGCTTTGTCTCTGATGTATTTAGGATCTTAGTTGTTTCGTCCTGGACAGTGGTTCTCACACTCACTAGTCCTCTGCCTCCTTCCTTGCGGCTCGTGTACAGTCTCAGGGTGCTGGATTTGGGATGGAACCCTCCATGCATTGTTTAGTAGCTTTCTGGTCTTAATATCTGTGGCTTTTATCTCCTCCTTTGGCCAGCTAATTATTCCAGCAGGGTATCTGATTACTGGCAAGGCATAGCTGTTTATCGCACGGATTTTGTTCTTGCCTTGAGCTGGCTTCTCAGGACTTGCCTTATTCTTGGAGGTATTTAGCTGTGGCTCCTTTCCTTGTGACCTCATCGAGGTTGCCATTTGCTTGTGGTATACCTAGGTACTTGTAACTGTCCTCTATGTCTGCTATTGTTCCTTCTGGGAGTGAGACCCCTTCTGTGTGGATGACCTTCCCCCTCTTTGTGACCAGCCGACCACATTTCTCTAGTCCGAATGACATCCCAATGTCGATGCTGTAGATCCTGGTGGTGTGGATCAGTGAGTCGATGTCTCGCTCACACTTGGCGTACAGCTTGATGTCATCCATGTAGAGGTGACTGATGTTGGCCCCATTTTTGAGTCGGTATCCGTAGCCAGTCTTGTTGATAATTTGGCTGAGGGGGTTCAGGCCTATGCAGAACAGTAGCGGGGACAGAGCATCTCCTTGGTATATGCCACATTTGATGGACACTTGTGCAAGTGGTTTGCAGTTGGCTTCAAGGGTGGTTTTCCACAGCCTCATCGAGTTTGCAATGAAGGCTCTCAGAGTCCTGTTGATGTTATACATCTCTAAGCATTCATGATCCAAGTATGCGGCATTGAGTCATAGGCTTTCTTGTAATCAATCCAAGCCATGCACAGGTTGGTGTGTCGGGTTTTGCAGTCTCGGGCAACTGTGCGGTCTACGAGGAGTTGGTGTTTGGCTCCTCTGCTATTTACACCGATACCCTTCTGTGCCGTGCTCATGTGTTTATCCATGTGTTTGCTTATCTTGGCCGCTATGATGCCTGACATGAGCTTCCAGGTTGTGGAGAGGCAGGTTATTGGTCGGTAGTTGGGTGGGACTGGACCCTTTGATGGATCCTTCTGGATTAGGATTGTCCGCCCTTCAGTTAACCATTCAGGTTGAGTCCCACTTTGTAGCAGCTGGTTCATTTGGGCTGCCATTCGCTCATGGAGAGCAGTGAGTTTCTTTAGCCAGTAGGCATGGATCATGTCAGGCCCTGGTGCTGTCCAGTTTTTCATACCTGAGACTCTTTCTTGGACATCTGTCACAGTGATGGTTACCGGGGCTTGCTCAGGGAGGTTGCTGTGGTCCTCTCGTAGAGAGATCAGCCACTGTGCATTGCTGTTGTGGGACGCCTCCCTTTCCCATATGCCTTTCCAGTATTGTTCCGTCTCCAGCCTTGGTGGGTCTGCTCTGTTTTATTGTTACCCTGCCATTGAGAGTACACCTTAGCTGGTTGAGTGGAGAAAGCCGGTTAATCCTTCTGGATTCATTCTCCCTTGTGTATCTCTTTAGGCGGCTGGACAAGGCTTGGAGCCTCTGTTTGGCAGTCTCGAGTGCTTCAGGTATGGCATCTGCCTGTACTTTCTGGGTACTGGTCTTTTCATTGCACCCTTGTGGAGCTCTGACAGTTGGCTCACTTCCCTCCTTGTTACCTTGATTTTAGCCTCTAACCGTCTTTTCCATGGTGGGTATTGGGTCTCATGGTTGCTCTATAGCCAAGTATCTCAAGGATCACTGATGCTGAGTTTAGATCAGCTCATTGGTTTCTGTTATGGTGTTGGTAGGGATCGTTCTCAATGCTGCATTCACATTCTCAATGAGACTTTCAGATGGTACTTCACTCAGCCGTTGTAATTGGCGCCGGGGAGGCCTGGTTGTCATTCGGGTCATGATTCTCTCTCTCAGGTCAGCAGCTGTCTCGTTCAGCTCTGTTTCGCTCATTGGGGCCGTGTATCCCCTCACTGGTGGGGACTTGTAGTTAAGTCCCCACAGTCCTGACATCCGGGTTCCTCCCTTTTGCCGTAGCATTTGTGTTGTATCTCGTCAATCTCAAGTTGTGATAGCAGTTGCCGTTTGCGGATGTTGGAACACTGAGCTACTAGTTGTTTAGTGCTTAGTGTTGACTGGGGATGTCGAAGTAACCATTCCTTCCCCAGTCTTTGCATGTAACCTCTCTCACTAGGGTTACTTGAGTAGTAGCATTCCAACAGATCCACATTTTCATCTCTCGCCCATTTCCGTCTTGTTCCAGTAGCCCATTTGTCATCAAGGTGCTCTGGTTCCCCAACACCTGACGCAGACCTTGTTTGGCCGGGCGACGTCTGAGCCGGCATGTTATGCAACTTAGTATCTCTCATGGTATGAGGTAGGCAGTAGCTTGAAGGGTCTTGCCTAAGGACCCAGACTGGATTCGAACCCTGCCCTCTCGGGTGATATACTGATGCCTTATGTATTGAGCTATCCAGTCAGCTATATATATACATATATATATATATATATATATATATATATATATATATATATATATATATATATATATATATATATATATATATATATATATATATATATATATATATATAAAGCCTGAATTGTGACCCGCACTTCTGAATACATCACAGCCAGTCAAGGTTTAGAAAAATGCAGCCCGTGAAGAACCTCGAACTGCTGATGGAGCAACAGAAATAGTCGGCTTCTTTCCACCCTTCATCTGTAAAATCTGCACCCTGCTCAGGTTCCCACACAGCTCCAGTCATGAAACACTTGTCAAAGAAAAGAGAGGCCTGTGGATGCCGATGATCCACCAAGACTTTCTTTGGAGGAATGTAGGAGTAGTTGGGCAAAGGAGAGCGTGCTCAAGAGCTGAAAACAGCGGCAGCCTTGGGAAGAAGGCCGTCTAATTCTGTGATAAATGTAGCAATAACTCTTGTTTGTATGTTTAATCTAGTTTGAAAGCATAAAAACCAGCACTTTATTAAAGCTTTGTTTATACGGGTGGCATTGCTCCATTTTTCTCATGACAGCTTCAACTTCATAGGAAAAAATCTTAATAGGAAATCTAAAAATGTAGAGCTAACCCAACCCTTCTGAGAATTTTAGATAGATCTGGATTCTACGAAAAACAAAACAAAAAAAACTTACATTGTTAATTTAAAATCTTATCAGTTTGAAAAATGGAAACAATCAATAATGTTATTATAATTGAGGAATAAACAGCAGCTGGCAAAGTATTCAAATTTTTGGAACATTTTCACATTTTGCCACATTACAAACAATCTTTAATCTGTTTCACGACAAAATAATTGCACTTAACTGTGGAGTGGAAAAATATTTGTCTGACAAACTGAGTGTGGATTTGTATTCAGGCCTTTTTAGGCAAAAGTTTGGCCTTTTTGCTTAATTTTCTTTATAAAACTGACGAAGCCTGGTGAGACTCAATGGAGAAAACTGGTGAAGAGAAATGTTTAACTCTTTCTCTCTCTATCTGTACACAGAACAGCTACAAAACTGACATTTGGTGCCCCATAAATGCACATCTTAGTGTGTTTTTGAGTGCGTTTAAGGCAGGGGTGGGCACTCCTGGTCCTCGAGGGCCGGTGTCCTGCAACTCTTGGTTGTCTCCCTGATCCAACACACCTGAATCCAATAGCTGAATCACCTCCTAAATGCAATCAAGTTCTCCGGAGTCCTGCTAATGACCTCAGTATTTGACTCAGGTGTGTTGAAGTAGAGATACATCTAAAAGTTGCAGGAGACCGGCCCTCGAGGACCTGGAGTGCCCACCCCTGGTTTAAGGTGTGGCTCAGACTTCTCACCTCAGGGATGGGATCTGACAGCAGCGTATACAACTTCTCATGAGCGCTGTCTCGGACGCCACACCAGCGCGCTGGTTCAAAGTTCTGCCAGATCCGGCCCAGGCAGATCGCCACCCATTGCCGGAGCAACGGGTGGGGGTCAGAAAGCTGCTCCAGGCAGTTGGCGATCAGGTTACCCTGGAGACAGGCCTCCTAGAGGGCAGAAAGATGAGGAAAGGACGTTGGAAACCTTAAATTGTTTAGCTGTTTATCTTTATCTTTTATAAAGGAAAAATATGTTATTTCCAGTTAAGAATAGACAGAGCTCTTCTGACTGTGGCTTCTATTACTTGTGGCTAAAACTGGTCTTTCTGTATAGGATTCATGACAAAACAAGCATGATAGGAGCCTAATCCTCCCAAGCAGCACAGAGGTCCTTGGTTGACTTGAAACTTATTAGTCAATAAAATCCCCACTAACCTCTAAACCTTTTGTGAGATTTCGACAGAAAAGATTATAGATTAGCAACACAACGGCAATAAGACTTTACTAAAATTAACTATGAAGTCTGCAAAGTAATGACACAATTTTTTTTTATTATACTGATGTTAACTGGTGTTTTATATTTGGATTTTTAGCTCTATTGCTTTTTCCTCTTTAAGAAAGCTATCAAAAATGCAGCAACTACAGCGACTGGAAAGAAAATTCATGCGATGTAAAGTGAGATGATAAAAACAGATCCATTGTATAGCAGCACAGAGGAAAGCTCTGCAATGTCACTACAACAGTTTGAGAGCGGATAACGCAGATCACGTTTGATTTGAATGTCTTTACGGGTAAAAAACAAACAGTAAGTATTTTACATAGTGGATTTTTTTGTTGCTTTTCTGTCAAATTTTGATGTTGCAGATCTTCAGACATTGAGGTTAAACTGACCCACACCCCCATTTAAATCAGTGATATAATTAGTCATAATTAATCACATATTTCCAGTTAAATGAACATGTTCAATCCTCGACTTATAGTACAAAGAAAGCAATTGAAATGAACATCAAGTAGGAGAAAAAGATTTTCATAAACAGACGTCACGCCTTGATCTAAAGACGACACTTTACCATCTGGAAAGGGTTTAAAAGCCATTTATAAGTTTGTGGTTCTCAGATCACCAAGATTTGGGTTATGTAACAATCTGATGCAGACCAGCAAGTTCAATCTTGAATGATTTCAATAGCTGCCTCATAAAAATCTGCACTGAAAGCTAATTGAGATGAGCTGAAATTGGCTATTCATGCTGAAAATCTTTCCAGTATGGCTATCTTAAAATGATTTGACAAAAGAAACGAGGCAGGATTCCTCCACAAGGATATAAAAGCCTTATTGTTAGTTTTCACAAATGCCAAATGGCCGTGGTTGTCCAGACGGGTTTCAAGAATCGCCAGAAAGATCTGGATGGCTTTTTCCTTTAGTAAATGAAATCATGAGAACATTTTTTCCTTCTGTTTTTGCTCAGGCTTAATTTTATGATCTAATACATTTTGGGGCAAACATTTTTCACAAAGCTTTGTGAGCAGTGATAACATTAAATAAAATAGAAATATGCAATTTTGGGGCAATTAGGTTGAAAGTTTGGTTTCCCCTGGTGACATAAAAATATATTTTTTCTTTATTGTTGATCGAAATGAGACCCATTTTACTTCATTGCCTAGTCAATCACATATTTGAAATCAGCAACCTGTTGACTATTATGAATAAAAGCTTCAAATTCTTTTATCAACATTGTGATTGCTGTGTGACACATTCTCAGCTTTTAGTCCACAGCAATGACTGGCGTTGTTTAACATAAGAAATAAACAGGAAACTGAAGCTGAAAAGCAGGGAGAGAGTCTCTCTGTAATGTCACAATCATCTATTATTTACAGAAACCAGCAGGAGATGTGGGAGTGCTCAGTTTACAGAGAAATATACATGAAGGATTGGTGTTTCTGAGGCTGACAGCGGGTACAGGTTTTCTGATTTGTCACTTTTATAAAATGTAATATCAGAAACAGGCACATGACTGGGAATAAAAGACACAAATAACCATAACTAGACAGAAATATTACAAATATTTTCTTAGGAATTGTTTGCGTGTCTGGGTGGAATGGTGAGTTACATTATCCCTACGTTGCACCTCTGGGTATTTGATGAGCAGCAGACATAAAAGGCTTCTGGGATTGCACGCAGGAGGCCGGGGGCCGACGGAAGTGACTCATTTGGAGATAAAGTGTCACCACATTGGTGGCTGGGGCAGAAACAGAGGCTGCAAAAGTAACTGCTGCTGACAAAACTGTCACATAACCAATATCTACTGGAAATATACAACGGGCGACAGAGATGACAGTTGGCTCTGAGAGGACCTCGTTTCCTGGCGAGAGGAGTAAATTAATAATTTGCCATGTGCTCCCTCTGGCCTTCTGACGATCCACTCGAAGCCATACACACAAATTCAAACCGGTTCTCTACCTGGCCTGTGTTGTAGTTGTTGACGATGACAGCCAAAATGAAAACGGCCATGGTACGATGTTCCGCCTGAAAGAAAGGAAAGCATTCCTCAACCCTCTCACAGTAAGCTATTAATACTTAAACGGCTTCGCATCAAATTAAGCAGAAACAATCGCATGAAACACTTTTTACCAGCGATGGAGGCTGATACTTACAGGCATGTAACTGTCGGCTAATACAGACAGGAAATACTTGTGTCCGTTGTCTTTCACCAGGTCAGCTTGACATGACTGTGAAGATGGAGAGCAAGAATTAAGAGGATTCACTCTTCATTCAGAGTAACATTTATTAAAATGTGTTGCTTTTTTCTCTTTTTCCCAGAACAGACTGAGCGACGACTGAATATTATTATTAAATCAGGGTCAGTTGAAAAGAACAGCTGTCTTCAAATTTTCCTCAAAAACAAAATATTAGGATGCACATCGCAATAGGCAACAACTGTTGCCAGATTTTCCCCATCTCTAACTAAAATGAACAAAAAAAATCCTGAGTACCTCAGCTGACGCTTCAGATCTTAAACATGGCTGCATGTTTGTTATTTAAAATATATTTTGATACATTGGTAAGACTTTATAAGGACTTTTGAATTTGAGTTTTATTTGTTGGCACAACTCATCATTTCCAAATTCTTTAACAACAACATAGTTTAGGAGGTGCACTTTATCCCCACAGTTTTGACAATTATTGTTACTCTTAAGTAAAAGGGAAAAAATTGAGGAAAAGCACTTTATGTCTCTCTCCGTCTATTTCTGTAATGTTTTCCTAAGCCAGAGTGAGATTGTGAGAATGTCACTGATATGAAGAAGAAAAATGCTTCAGCTGAATGCTCCCAGTTTAACTCTCTGATGTCTGATTTGTGAAAAAATTGTACTGCAGGTTTACTTCACAATCAAAATGGTGATTAAACATTTGTAAAACACACATATTGATGCAATCCTGAACCTTTAGGTTAAAATTTTGACAAAGTACAAGTGTTTTGATTACATAAATGTGGAAGTGCCAATGCTATGAGATTTTAAAATGAAACAAGAAAGAAACACACAGATTCTGGACATCTGTGTGTGATTGCTCAGCATTACTTACACTATCCACAGCAAGGATTTTGGCCCAGATGAACACCAGCTGCGGCCGCAGCTCCCTGGCTGAACTCTGGAGCAGCTTTAACACATATGGGAAGATCCCAACAGACAGGGCCTGCAAGATGCACAAACAACACAGCACCGGTGCTTACAGGGCAAAGTCATGTGGCATCTCAGCAAACAGGTGTGAGGATAGAGTAAAGCTGAATCAGGCAGCAGACTGGCCCTGATGTAAATGTTGTTTATCACTTTCTACAATTCTCTTATATATATATATTTAGAAACATTTTAAAAATACAGGTTGGGACAGACCACAAAGCCATAATCCCAATCCTATGAAGAAGCTATTGGACTGAAAAGGTCTGAAAAGACCAAATAGACTCAGTTACAAAGGTTCTGTCAGGAGGAATGAACCAGAAGTCCAGTAAAGTGAAGGAATCCCAGAAGGTTTGATTCAAATCAAAAAACTTAAAAACATTATATCCTGAAACTGGCCAAATGGATGTGAAATTCTGAAATCAATGAATTTATTTTTAAAAATATCTAAAAAATGTTCTTGCAAAGTTTTCTAGCATTTAACAAATATATATAATTTTGGTAATACTAATTGACCAGAAACAAGTGCTTGATCTGACTGAAGGTCAGACAGCAGGAAAAAAATCTTTTTACTTGGTGAAATATCTGGTTTGAACTGTATGATTACATTTACTAAAGGAAAACAGCATAAAGGAGATTTTTTTAAGATTAATTCTTAATATGTGGTCAATATAACCAAAGTGTTCTTTGTAAACCAAGTGAGCTAATCGCATATTGTAGTTTTATGTCATCTGAAGCTCATGTTTAATTCTTCAGTCGATAATTATTTGACTGTGCAGAGTTTGTGTTTGTTTTATTACATTGTTGTTTAAATCTTTCAAACCATTTTGATAGTTTTAAAAATGATGCAGTTATTACTATGGTGAAACATATTTTTATGGTTTCAAATTGTATAAACTACCTTTGACATTCAAGGTTTGACTATGTCAGAATTCACTTAGGAGTGTCAAATATAAAAGAGGCGAACGAACCAGACTGACGGCCCAGGGTCCCAAATCCAGGAACTGTCCAAGCAGGTTCAGAGCCCTCAGCCGATGCACTTGACTCAGGAGAACCTGAAAGGCAGGAAAACAGATCAGAGGTAATTTGGGTTTGCCTACAAAACCGGAGGGAAGTCTGAGATTAAAGGAAGAGGAAGAGCAGCAGGGAATATGGCAAAGAAGGTGGATTGGAACAGGTGGTGCTCCCACCACTACTAGAACCAGCATCATTACTGAGTGTGTGGGCAGCTGGGTGTGTCCTCTTGGCTGCCATTGTGTTTGGATGCTTACAGAGGTATCGGAGTATGACATCATCTGAGGGGGCGCTTTAACTTACCTGCGTTCACATAATGAAATACTGATGCCAACTGGGAATAATTTAGAAAGCTGTTGTAGCCACACAGGACTATTTATAGGATGCATATGGCAGATGCTAAAAATACATAAATGCTTGTGTTTGCATACACTATGCAATGCAGCATTAAAGTCTGTGTGAAGGCTGGACGCCGGAGCATCTCCATGTGACTTTCACAGTGTGTGTGGGAACAAGCATATGGAGGATCGAAGATTCACACAAGCATCTCCTCCTACACACGACGCATGAACAGAATCCTCGGGGGGACATCGACCTGTGAGCGTGACCGCAGAAACAGAAGGAGGCTGGGGGAAGACCGGAGCACGTCTGCCTCCAGCTCTGAGGAGGAGCGTGGGAACGTCCGTGCTCGTGTGTTTTTACGTGACGTAGACACCGCAGAAAAGCCACAGGGCAACAACCCGACCCAAACCTCTGTTGGTATGAGCGCAATCTAACTAAATTCATATCTTTTTCATTCTCATCATCACCAACTACATTTGGTGTGCATTATTCATAGAGGAGAAGGCCTGGAAGGAATGGAAATAAAGTCCCAGATCAACACTGCAACATAACAGAGAACGTGAGCGTGTTTTTACCGCTGCAATATCTTTACCTCACTCTGATTCGCAAGCAGTGAGTAAGCGCTGCCTCCTGTTTTCCTGTGTTTGAGCACCGATACACGTCATGTTGCAGTGCCCCATAAAAATATTCACACTCCCCAAACTTTTTCACGTTGTGTCAAAATCCGAATCCAAAACCTCGTCGGTCTTAATGAGATGTGTTGACACAAAGCAGTGCATGCTCATGAAGTGAAGGAAAATTAATCGTGCCTTTCAACATTTTTAACAAATGAAAATCTGAAAAAAGTAGCACACACCGATTCTTCTAAATAAAACCTGATGGCACTAATTACCCTCCAAAGTCACAAAATTAGAAAATAAAAGGAGAAAAGGAGTAAGGGCAAGGAGAGCATTAGTTTGAGAAGCCGTGAAATCACCACTGTGTAACTCTGGAGGAGTTGCAGGGATCCCCAGCTCAGGTGGACATAGCTGCAGACAGGACAACTTTTAGAAGCACAAATTTAGGTGTTTCTGGGAGAGTGTCAAAAATAAAGCAACTGTAATCAGGAAGCCATTACCAATATGCCATAGGCAATATAATAGATACATGCAAAATGCTGTGTGGCAGAAATCCACAGTGAAACATAGTGATACAAGCATGATGCTGTGGGGATGGGCTTTTTTTCCCAGTAAAGCCAGTGAAGTTTGTCAGATTTGAGGGAAAAATGGATAAAGCTGAATAAGAGTACGATCCTAAAAGAAAACTTGTAAGAGGACGACAACCCTGAACATACAGCCTGAGCGGCAACTGCATCGTTTTCAAAGAATATGCAGAGGTTAGAATGGCAGAGTAAAAGGTTAGTATTGTTGAAAACTCTGCATGCTTTTCGTTTCATTTCACAATCATGCTTTGTCAGTGTGTCTATCACATTAAATCCTAATCACTTACATTGCAGTTTGTGGTTGTGATGTAAGAAAATGTTCAGATATGAAAACTTGCGCTGTGTGAGGTGCATATGTTGTTTAATGGCTGCAGCGGCGCTTGGAGGAACAAACAGGCGTGAACGCCTCTGTTACTGTAGCACTGCGATTTTTAAATGCTGTAATCCCTTTGCACAATCTGCTAATCCTTTTTAGATGAAGTAGCTGTTGTCAAGACAATGCAGCACAGCAGCTCAAACCTGCACTGGATGAGTTGTTGCTCATCTTACTAAAGACCATTATTGATGGATCACTCTGCTTTTCTTGTTTCTTGTTAATCTTTCATCCTTCAAATGGTGCCTGAATATATTTGGCATCAAATCGTAAGCACTCTAAGGAAATGCCAGTCCTCATCCTCCTGTAACAGTGTGTTTAAACACACAGGATCATCCAGTAACACATACACATATTTTTTTTCCCCCAATCACCGTGTTTAACCGCATAAAGTTGCACAAACTGCACGGCTGCTGCAGCTGTTTCCCTGTTGTTTCCAAACAAACACACACGCACAATCACACACACAGCATCCATGTGCTCTTCAATCACGGCGCCTTTTTCCTGGCTTTTAACGGGTCCCGATGGGCCCCGCTGTATGGATGTGCTGCTGCTCGCAGAGTGCTGACTCAGCAGGAAATTACCATTCAGCACGGACAGCTTCATGCAGCTACTACGCTGTGATATAATGCAATGCTGCCACTGTACCACCCTGCGGGGAAGATGGCGGTGGAGGTGGAAGGACGAGAGCGAAGCGTCAGACTGCACCCCCACTTCCCCGCCCCCCCCAACAAATTTACCATCTTTACCAGGCACAGGAGCGGCCACAGATGTAGGTTTAGCTGTGGGGCTGTAATAAAGAAAATTAGCCTGAAAGTCCTGAACAGAACTTCCAAGAAGGATTTTCACACTTCTGAGGTAAAAGATGTGGTAAAAAGGAACACCTGGTGTAATAAATTATAATGAATTAAGCTTTGGAGAGGAGCAAGACCTCAGCATAAGAAGTAGTCCCTGTAGCAGTAATATTCCCGGCTGCCGGTACAATTCTGGAAGGTGATTTGTGAGTTTAATCAAGATGCTATTGCTTCATAATAGAGAACAAAGCCTTTTTTGTGCAACCTGCAACACTGATGGCTTTAGGTATCAGGTAAAATCGACAGCATCACTTTATGTAGCGGTAGTCAGTTTAAACAGCTGCTTGGCGTGCTGTGAACTGTGTTGAGAAGATTGGCCCTCACTCCCCTTGACAATATGCAACAGATGCGGCTCTGCAAACACCTGAAACATCTATGCCGTGTTTAATTTGGAGCCATCATGTGTAAAAATCACCAAAAACCCATTAGTCAGGCAAAAAAATCCAGATTTTCTCTCATGCTGTGTCAAGTGCTGTGTTTTTAATACTAATGTGTTTTTTTATTTTTTTAAAAGGGAAGACATGCAGTTTTTACACTGTGGACTTAGCAATAATGTCTTCAAGATGAAACTGAAATAAATCACAAGAGTAAAACTGAGTGTCTTATTAAATTTCTACAGGTCTATGATACCATTTTTAATTATTTTCGAGAACCCTTCTTTAGCACTTTGACTGGGACATCAATGCATTAGTGCTAATTATCAAAATATTTTAAAAAGAAAATCTGGCAGCCAAAAGAAAAACTGCAGAAAACAGAGCAAATATGCTTATCTATTAAATATAAGTAGATGTGAGTCATAGGAGAAACATAGGACAAAATGAAAGAGTGAGAGGAGAACAGAATGACATCTTCTCACCAATAATTGCAAAATCAAGAAATTATAATACTTTTTTTCCCCACAGAAATAATAAAAAAGAACCCTATTGCTCAGTTTCGATTCTTGTAGTTATAGTTTAACATCCAAAAGCAAATATTTAATCTATGCTTGACTTCAATGTTAATATTTCTAACATGGTATATTCTCCAATCACCAGGCTTTGCATAGATCTGGGTTGATGAAGTGCCGACATGCATACAGAAAACACTGATTTTAAGAAGGTGTGCATGCGTGGTTGTGTGTGTACCTGCAGCACTATAGGGAGCTGCTCAGGAGGGTTTCTGTTCTCCACACCCATGGTCAACCAGACCTGAAACGCCGTGAGCTGCTCTGCGAAGAATGGACTGTGCTGTGGAGACAAGCAGCAGAAGTAACACAGATATTAGAGCTTTTACTGCGCTGAATTTCCTTCTCTCATACACACACACGCACAGCCAGTCTGCAGCAACTAGCTCATCTTTTCATAAAAAGGTCCAACATAATGAGCTGAGAGGTGACACTGCACTGCAGCAACAACATAAATCCCGATCGATCATGATCAGCTTACCGTCTCTGTGGTCTCTGCTGCCGTGGCAGGCCACCTGATTGGCTGCTCGCCCCACGTTATTTGATCATGCTGTGAGGTGAAATTACAGCAGGAATCATGCCATGTTTGGGTACGGTAATAGATCTTGAGGAGGGAAATGACAGCACTGCACTGGATGGATGGATTAATTTATGAATAATCACAGCAGGAAAAAAAAAAACTTCACCAAACTTTGACCTTATTCATTGTTTTGTGAAATGTAAAGCATGAAGGGTAGATAATCTGCACTTAGAAATTTGCTAATTTGTTCAATTAAAGATTGAAGTAAAAAAAGAGAACATTTTCATCAACAGAAATATATAATATCCCACAACAGCAATTTCACACTTGTTGCCTGAGAAGGGAGCCAAGATTACGGTATTGGCAAGGAGTCCTTCCAACGTCACAGACCAGCAGAGATCCAAATGAGATACTGTCACTTGAACTTAAAAAGCTCTTTTTTGCTCATAAGCCCTCCAACGTGGCTGAATTAGAACAAAGCAGCAAGGATGAGTGGACAAAATCCCTCCACAGCTGTAAAAGATTTACTGCAGGTTATCACAAATGCTTTATTGCAGTAGTTCACACACAGGTCTGTGTAGGTTTGAATCTTTTTGCCGTATTAAAAAACATGCTCATTAAAACGATGCATTTTGTGTTTACTTGTTTTGTCTTTGACTAATATTTAATTTGGTTTGACGTTTTCAAATGCTGAAGTATGACAAACATGCAAAAGTGTAAGAAACCAGGAAGGGGACAAACACTTTTTTTACACCACTTTTTCTTTTCTTAATTTTTTACCAAAGCTTCAGAAAGTAATGTGCATAGATGAAGAGCACCAGAAACATCTTAAAGACCCCTGAATTCAATACAGAGCAGGAAGATCTTCTTTAAAGGTCCTCTGGGACTCAATTATGGTGCTGGTAAGTGTTTTCAGCCTGAGTGCTAGGGAAAGTGTGGAAAGGAAACTGCCCCTAGGGGAGCAATGGAGAAGAAGCCCACCTCCGAGGGCGAGGTGGACAGGAAAAAAGCCCAAGATTAAAGTGCTAAAGTCTGCTGAACAGTTTCCATTACAAAGTACAGGTTGCGACTGATCTATCTACAAATCAGAGGACCAAGTCGACTCATGCATAAAAAAAAAAGAGTTGATCGAGATAAATGATTCCATCATCAGTTCAATAAGCCTCTTGCAGCGTGTTTTCATTGAACTCAGCATCTCTATCAGAGTCCCCTGCCGTGTCAGTAAATATAACAATAAACACACCAGTGGCTGAAAGTGCAGGGCCAGTGGTTTCAGAAAACCGTTTTTTATTTGAAACTCATAGTTGAGTTATAAGACCTGACATTTTACAATATTATCCACTGGGAATGTGTGAGTATGAGTAATTATCAGAGATGGTGGTGGTGCTGATGGAGGAAAAGCTGCAGAGCAGACGAGATGTTTGGTGTTCCCGAACATCAGCGGCAGACAGAAGCCATCTATCAAAGATGGCATCCTGTTATCTCTAACATTCCCGTCGTCACTGATAAAAACACAGCAAAAAGTATTTGTCCGCGTTTTTCAAGTGTCAGAGGCCCGGTTTATCCCTCAACAACATACACGCAAACACACGGGGACGCACACACACACACACTCACTCTGAAGGCGGTGCCCTCCTCGATGATGGTAGGCAGCTGAGAGAGGCAGATGTCCACGGCCAAGTCCCAAGCTTGCCTGCAGGGATGAAACACGGAGACACAAACCACATTAGAATTGCATCATCTGATCTTCAAAAACAACACAAGTCAGGTGATAATACAAAAAAGTTAAGTTTTAAATTCACAAAAGTGTTACTGCAACAGTTAATCAAATGTTGACAATACAAAGTAATTGAACAATAGTGATAGTACCAATTATGCAAATACAGAAGTGTTTATGATGTTTGCCTTTGTGAAATTATTCATATTTGTAATTGCAAGAAAAGAAGACAAGAGTGAAAAAAGAGCTTGGAATGAATGGATAGTTATGATTTTTTACTAATAAAACAGTGTTTTTAAAGGAAAATATTACAAATAAATCTATCACATATTATTCAAACATTAAATTCATTCAGTTGCCTCTCACTGAATAATGAAATCAATAGTTCAAGTTCAAGAAAACTGTACAATTTATTATGTAGTAATATCATAGAAGTATAACAAATCAATGGCGGCACTTTTCCCCGGTACATTTTATTTGAATAAAAGCACTATTTGCTCCATCTTATTCAATAAAACAGGCAGTAAATCAGCCAACTGCATGGCAGTAACTCAATGTTTTTATATACATCTACACGACTTGCTGAAGTTCAGAAGCATTGGAAAGGAGAAGACAGACAAAGAAGAAAGGAGAAGTGACTCAACTCTGAAAGCACAGGAAACAGAATTTTCAATGAAAACATTTGCAGTTGCAAGATTTAGATGGCTGGGTTTCATTTTGGCATAAACACAAAACTGTGGAGCTATCCTGCCTCATTTCAACAGTTCAAGCTGCTGGTGGCGTCATGGAGTGGGAAATAATATCTTGATAAAATTAAGGATTGTTTTAATGCCACAGCCTACTTGAGTGTTGTTGCTGACCATTTTCATCACTTTACAACGACACTATACCGTTCTTCTGACGGATACTTCAGCAGGATAACGGATCATGCAATAAATCACCTCAAACTGGTTTTTCGAACATGACACAAAGTTGACATCGGATCTCAATCACAGAGCTCCTTTCAAATGTGGCGGAACGGAGATCTGCGTCGTCGATATGGATCTGACAAATCTGCAGCAACAGTGTGATGTCATCATGTCAACCTCAACCAAAATGGCTGAAGAATGTTTCAGACATTTAATTCCAAAGAGACAGTTCTGTTATGTCTTATGTCATGTATTATTTATCACACATGGATGTGTGATAACATAACAAAGCTTATTATCATATTGTAATAAGCTTTGTTGTGCAAATAGTTTTTCTACTATTGTCAAGCTGATGTTCCTATTAAATAGGTAGCAAATAATGCACTTATGAACAATTATTAAAGTATCTGAAACTTGAGAACTGAGCTGAAAAACATTAATTACAAATTCTGTATGTATATTAAACACAATTTCTTGGGTGCTAAGATTGTTTTTCCCCCAAAAATATAAAAACAATAAACTGAATCGAGCCACTCAGACCACCTTCTGCTAGGTTTGTTGGGAATTCAGTCTTTCACCCATGTCTATGAATCAAAATGTATTTAATTTGTCTTCTTTGTGTCTTGTCACATAATAAAGCTAAATTGATTTTCAGTTTGTACACAAGTGCAGGTCAACACCAGGTCTATGGTCGAGTTTTCAACCCCGGCGTACAAATCCATTTTTCTCAGATCGTCTCTCCTGCATTGTTCTCGAAGCGCCTACAACTCCTGAGGTTTCCTTCCACGGGTCCTAGAGAGGGCAGTGAGGAGCCTTTAATCCCCCTTCTAAACACCAGCTCTTCTCCCATGGTCATTTTTAATTCATGGGGTTATGCAACCCACATCAAACCTTATCACAGCTTCTCTTTTCTCCCTTTCAGCCCGTCTCCTCTAACCTCCACTTTCCAGCTTCTTTTTCTTGCAGAAAATTTAACTCAGAGCCTCGATGGGGCTTTTTCCTCTCAGTTAGCATGAGTTAGAGGTTGATTCATGTTCCCAGTTGATGCACAGCGATGTAATGTGAAGCTGAATGAATGACGCAGGGTTCACTCTGTCTGAGACTCTTTCTCCTGCTCAAATGGCTTTTCCCATTATTCCAGAGTGATATAATAGAGTTGCACTCCTGGTTGACAGCACAGTGCAGAACATGTAATGGACTCGCTGATAAATGTGCAACATGGAAACATATAAAGGTAGCTTGATGAAGGCTATTGGGGGGTTTTTGTCACCAGCAGCAGCACAAAGAATTAGCCCTGTGGTAAAAATTGTCACAGTAAAAAGCTGATTGCATTCCTAAGAGGAGATGCTGTTCATCAAGTAGCAATTTGCAGCCACATACAGTGTTGGCTGTAAAGAATCTAGATCTAATTAGGCTCACAATGATTGGGCCTGGGCTGAGAAACACTGAATTTAAATCTAGTTCAGATGATGTGACATCACAATACACAGACTATTTATGCAAACTTGGATTATTCTAAAGTGTTAAATTTGGTAAATGATCTGAAACAGTTACATAATAAAAATATATCTAAAAAAAGATGAAGAAACCTCAGTGTCTAATTTATTGTTATAGCAGACGAAAATAAAAATAATAAAGAATTAAAGCAACAACTCAACTGTGTATTAGGTGTTCTCCTTTAACAAATCACATATGAAAACACTACATTCTGGTTTCATAACTTGTGATTGGGAAATTGCCAGCTCACGAGTCCATTCCTGATGGCTTTTATGCAACCCATTGGCATCTAAACAACCAGAAAGTACCATATTATCTGCAAGATCGTACCCTCAGGAAGGAGGCTGCTCCAACTTTATTATGGCATGGTTAACCCGTTCACAAAAGCAGTAGAAGTGACTCATCAGCAGAGATCACGCGTGTGTTGAGTGTGAAATGAAGGGAAAGCTGTGTAGGAGAACATTTGGTGACTGACTAAGCTCTTTTCTCTGGTTGCCTGCAGAGAGTGGTGCAACAACATGCCCCAATATAAAACAGACATACACTATTGGCAATAAAATGGCCGGCCAGGGCGTAATCAGCCTCAGGCTTATTTGCCCTACCCTGTTCTGCATTTGAATAACAGTAGCTGTTTGTGTTTTGGCACTAACATGAATCAGCAAACCCTTAAAGTACTTATTCCCTCCTTTCCACCTTTTCCGGTCCAGTCCATCCTGGCCCAAACTTTTATTTTCCTACTTGCCTTTTATCTCGAACACTTACTCTCTTTATTGCTCTCACAGTTTGGTTTCCTAGTCTCCTAAAGCACTCCTCAGTCGTTACTCTATCCTGCTTAATATTGCATGTGCTATTGTGAAATCCCAATTTGTTGGGCCGCAAACACTGAAAAGTACCCGCAATCTAAACTAATAGGGATGAACAGGCGAGAAAGAAAGACTACAGCATGCTCAAGGAGTAAAGAGCAGTATTTGTTACAGGGAGAGATGCCAGGCGGTTACACAACGAGCATCTCCTGGAGGCTTTGCCAACGCCAGCCAGATAATGAGTGGGAGAAGCAGAAAGAGGCATTTTTAGAAGACGGTGCAAAGGGAAAAAAATGATGGCGATATGTTTGTGTAACTAAAGGAAGATGGATGATTAGATAATGGCTTTTAAATTGTGCAAAAGAGGAATCGGACAACAGCAGGTCTTTGTGTATAAACACGTATGTTAATGAGAAAACATGGTTTATTTCAACTCAGCGTTTGTCTCATTACACAGTAAATAATCACATTATTTCCTAACTGAAGAAACCTTTTGGTTTTTTTTTAAAGAGGTGAAACATCTTCAGAAAATATAATAACTATGTTTAATTCAAATAATTAAACAAAGTGCATTAGTAGTTTTTGATTGAAAACTCTTTTTCTATTTTAACGATCTGTATCAACAACTTGCGTATTGTACTGGAGATTGTTCAAATGTGCTTAAATGTACTCCCTTCAGGTCCATACATAACCCAGAAAAACAGATATGGATTCTTTTATTTGAAATGAAAAAAACAATAACTTCCTTTTTGGCCTGAACAGTTCATACTTCACAAAGTCCTCAAATGCTGAGGTATTTGTATATCTTCGTTGTTGAACACAAGACCAAACAAAAGTTCTCCCCCAATCTGTCAGGAAGCTGCAGAAACATCCAGCCAGAGATGCAGGAGCAGAAAAGTGTAACGATGTTCTTACAGCTCGAGCAAAGGGAACAAATTTCTCAGTTTTTGCACACTGTGTCATTTGTTAAAAAGAGCACTTGAGTAACTCAATAGTCACAACTTGTATTCCATTGATTTTGGATGTGTTTGATGTTAAAACACTGTTCCTATTTGCTCTTTCAAAAGCCCATATTTTGAAAGAAAATAAGGACCCTTTTGTCTATTCATTTGTCTATTCCACAAAACATGAATACTTTACTTGTAAAGCATCAATTTAAAAGAAAAATCTCATAAATGCATTAAATAACTACTGAACCCTATAAAGCCCAATCATATTATGTTCAATTTTAATTACATGCAGCGTATCCGTAAAGGACTCTTAGTGCTTCACATTTTCCGCATCTTGTCATGTTACAATCTTACTGCAAGTTGTAATAAGAATGAATCTTCCACAAAATTCCACGCGCAAATGACAATATGGAAAAAGTTTGAGATTTTTGCACATTTATTAAAAATAGAAAACCAGTCACCACAACACATCATAACATCACAAACACACCACCAGGTTTTCTCTGCCTAGTTCATATCTAGTCTACTGTAAATAACAGCCATTAGTGACAGAAAGATCTTCAAAACAGCTCATGCAACACAAATTACTCCTCCACAAAGCAGCAACAGAAAACGAAAGCGATTAGTATATTGCAGTAGTCAAGCCAGAGTCAAGATCTCAACCTGCGTGGCAAAACCTCAACAGATCTCTACAAGCTTCATTAAACTGATGCGATTTGGAAGAATGAGTTTGCCAAAATTCCTCAACAAAGACGTGAGAGGCGCTTAAGTTCGAACAGAGAACAGTAACTACAACTTTCTCCTGAAAAAAAGCAGCTTATCAACTAAATGTTTTTATAGTTCTTATAGACTGCAGATCATTCTGGCTAAGCCTCTTAAATAAATATTAAAACAGAATAATATGGAATTTTTTTCTGATATTAAAAACCTTAAACTAAGTAAGACGCTTCCTGTCAACCACTCCCTGTTCTGTTTCCATTTACTGCAACTGTACTGGTAGTAATTTTCACCGCTATAAAACACTGCGCTCACTGCTGACAGCAACACTGGCAATAGTCAACATGAGAAAAAAAAAAGGATCTAAAAAAATAATACATGAAGAGTTTGCATATGCTCAAAGGCAGAAACATATAAAAACACCTCCACATGTTGGCTCAGGCTTCCACACCATTACTTATTTAAGGAGGCTGTGAAAGTGACTCAAGCATTTATATTGCTTACATGTAATCTATATTGAGAGCAGCTCCAGAAGTCTGTGTTTATCTTCAGTTTGCTTATAGAGCCATGACTGTAAATGAGAGACGCGGGAGTAACCTGTTGTATGTTTGAGGACGCATACAGCATCTGTTGCATCACTGGAAATCAAAATAACAAAATGTACCCTATTGATTTTTCAGCTCACCTGGATTTTCTTGAGTCGGGAACAAAAAGAAATGTGAAAGCAGCAACTTTGCTGTGACTAAAGTCTATTTGGGATCATGGTTTCATAAAACACAAACAACCATAAACTCCCCTCTTAATGGGTCACCTTCATCATTCACATTGTGTGTTTGTATATGGGTTATAATTGCTTTTAGAGAACAGGTAGGAAAACAGGTATTCATATAAAAATAATAGGAAGTCCCTGGATGTGATGTAAGTAATAGGTCAGCTCGATCATGAATGAAGCTGCACGATGAAGTTTACCAGAAATTGAATGTGCTGTAATCAACCCCACAGGAAACAGGGCCACGACATCTTCATCAGAAATAAAATGTCTTAAACATTCCTCTTTTTGGGAGCACAGCCAACATGGACTTCAGTCACTTCCTGTGCTGCCAATGCCAAATTACAACCCTGAATAGTAAGACAATAATTCAAAAACAGTGCAGAAGATTGATACCATCTTTCACAACTCCTTCTTGTGTTCACTGATAGTCAGGTTGAAATTCAACTGGAGAAATCAAGCTCAATGATTTCTCCAGTTGATACTGTATATATCAAATATGACATGGGAGAAATCCTACACTGAGCATTAAAGGAAGATGAATATCGAGTGGAATTGGGTAGGAAGGTCATGGACAGACGGGAAACACCTCCACATGTTGGGTCTTAAAATGTGATCAATAGTTTAATATTTAAACTCTTGCTGGAAAAGAAAGAAATTTAACTGAGATTAAAACAACATCAAATAATCTTCTTTTAATCAACATTAACAAAATGTGCCTTCCATGTGAGGATAATGTTAGGACACCCTCAAATAGCTAGTTTTAAACCCTTTGGCCTAAACAACTTCTGAGAGGCATCTGTTGAACTCTGACGGTCGAGATGTTTTTGAGCAATTTCTTGCATGTACAAGCCGTTTCAATGGAGAGCACAAACCAACCAAATCTAAAAAAAAGGGAAACAATAGATAGAAAGCAGTTTTCTTTTGGTTAGAAATCCCTTCACACTGACACAAATTAGCTTCCAGGCATGTTTCACTGTTTGAATTCACTTCTAATTTCCCAGTTGATTTTTTAAAATGTTCATTCATTAAATATACATATCATTACATAAAGAGGATAATGCTGTTTCCTAATAAAGAATATGTCTCTTAGAAACTCTCATCCTTTAATTGCGTTCTGAGTTAACAGCCGGGCCTTGAGGGTGACTCCTGTCTTTCCTCTAACCTCCAGCTCTGCAAAGCCACAGACATCTGTGCATCTGCGTGTTCATGTAACCCGAGCTCTGCTTGTGAGCGTGTCTTACCACATGGCGTGCATGTATGTGGGGGGCAGACGGGGGCTGCTCACTGGTGTACAGTTGTACGACCTCATTATCCTCTCTGCAAGCAGGAAATTGCGAAACAAGCTGGCCACCAGCAAGTCCTGACGAAACAACTTCTGGAACAGATCTGAAGTTGGGGATGGAGAAAATAGAAATGATATATTATTCTGCAGACAGAAGAAGGGAAAAAAGAAATTAGATTTACCTACATGTAAGAATAAACAAAAATGGAGCATATTGAGCCAAAGTGACTAAATTTGGAAAAACAATCATCTGGTTTGGGAGTTTGCTTCCACTATGTAAAAGACAGAGAAACGTTTATTTTCAATTAGTCGTGTCCATAATCGCATCCTTTTCTTGTAGCTTAGTCAAACAGGATGGTGGGTCTGGAAGGCTTGCAGTGTCTGGGCACATTTGCTCTACAGAAAGGAGACATGTGACAGACACAATGTTGCAATGTACAGTTGAAACCAGACATTTGCATTTTATTAAAAGATGCAATCTCCCCCGTCCCCACAGTCTGACATTAAATCACACTAAACTGGTCCTGTTTTTGGTCAGATAGGATCATGAAAATTATTTCTACCAGCTGAATGCCATAAGAGAAGGAGAGTGAATTCTTTTAACAGGGCAGTTATGTATTTTACAGACACATAGTGCCATTTTGTAGCACAATCAAGTAACTATATTATCTTCAGTTTTTAAAAAAAATACTGTATATATCAAATATGACATAAAAGAAAATTGGCTTTGTAATCCAACACCTTGAGTTTGGGCCTCTGTCTCTTTAAAGAGTTCCTGTTCTCTCCTTTTCTGTCATTTAGCAAACAAATTTGGTTTTTCTAACTAATAAAACCAAGAAAAGATTATTTACTGTCAGACAGTCAGGGGATAAAGATCCTGTTATAAAGTGTATGCAAATCTCTTGTTTGAACTCTGTCTGAAATTCTGTTTTATAACATGTCAATCTCAAAGTCTTCAACACAAAAGGAATCCACTAGTTCAGGTCAACTTTGACAAAGTTGGGCCGCTTCCTTTCCACCGTTTCTGGCTGATGATTATGATTTTACTGTTACTCTTAGGAGATATTTCTTAAGGGACAATGAGCATGTTGTTGGCGACATGCTGCAGAAGTCTCAGTGTGTGTGTGTGTGTGTGTGTGTGTGTGATTTGGATAAGGTGTATGAAGTGCCTTCATTACATGAAATCTCTCTGATATGGGCAGCTTCATTAACAGCGGAGCCCCGAGGCTTTAAAAGGCTTTGGCAGACAACAACATTGTCACAATACTATTCTAACCAGGACACAGTTTGTCGCGTGGGAGTTCGAGTGCGTGACTGAGAGGATGTGTGTTGAATACACGAAACAGGAGGGAAATCAAGGAATACACAGTCTAGAGGCATGTCATAACAATGCGTGTGTGCGCCAGCATTTTCTTCAGGGCAAGCATGTGAGAAATGGGTAGTTGCAGTGAGGTGTGTCGCCTGCCAAACCCCAGCTCAAGTGATATCCTCAATTACAGTGCGGGGAACTCTAAACACAATTAATCTCAATTTGAAGAGCTGACCTGCACAAACTGCACTTCTGGCATTTTATATCAACAGCGGCATGATTTCAGCCACTGGGGATGTTCTGATGCTCTCATAGTACTGCTGATGCCTAAACATCGCTGCTTTTTATTTTAGGTGCCCCACGTTGGACTCCCTGAGAGCTGAGCCACGCGGGACATTTTATTTTTCATCATTGCCCAGATATGTTTAAAGAAAGATTTTAGTATGCCTCTGATGTCTTTTCAAGCTCATCTTCTTCCCCCAACACCCCCACTGCGCGCTTTCAAACATTAATTTTTGCTTATAACAGCAAAATCTTTTAAAAAGAAGCTTATTTTCCTAATTCTGACAGCTGGTTAGTGTGCATATAACAAATCAGCACACTAAAGCATTACTAGAAATTCTTTTTAAAGCTTTGTTTTTTTCAATTAGCACAGCAGAGAAAATGCAGATCATTTGGTTTTTGGATTACTCTACTGTTGCTGTTTACATGTGTACCGCACAGCGGGGGTTGTTCTTATGATGTAAAATACAAGAGAGAGGAGACAGTTGGAGCATCCCTGCAGAGGACCCTCAAGATGCTCAATCTTTCACCACATTTGATGCAAATTGATGCGTTTCTGAGGAAAATCAGCTCTCTATGAATACTTGTACCATTGCAAATCATTTGACTGAACTGAGATGATCTGAGAAGTTTAAAACTTCTCATTTTGATTCTAATAAGAAGGAAGGAAGTAAAGGCGGAAGGAACGAATGAAGAAGGAAATTAAAACTTTTTAACTGGGGCTAAACATTTTGTGACGGTAGAAAATTGTTTTAATTCAGCCAGCAAAAAAGAGAAATCAGAATCTGCTCAGAAAACTCTGACCAGTGTAGCTGTAAATTACTAAAGATAAGCACATGTTGCTTTATTTTTGAGCGTGGTGAAATTTAAAATTTTTATTTAAAATGTTTTGTATTCCTATAAAAACACAATTCAAGCATATTAATGTAGGCCTGTCACAACATGCAATAAATCAATTAATCACATGATAAATTAAAGCAAGGTCAATAATTTCTGTTTGCATAATATACGGTTTTTCTCTTCCTACCAAAAACTGGATGACAAAGAAGTCTTCAGTCTGATGCTACGTTCTCAACAAGACTATCGAAGGACAGTTTTGCTTACAGAGACTTCATTAATTTCATTTATTGTTTCTGTGGTTTTGTTTATTTATTTTGCATATTTGACATATCAGTAAGTTTTTGAAGTTTAGTGATCTTTAAGAATGTGTGCATTATTATGCCATTACCATTACATTACTTTAAAATGGTCTCAAAGCAACAATATTATCGTTTATCGCTCTAACTTCTTGGATTTATCGTCCAGCAAAGGTTGTCATTGTGACCGGCCTGCATTCATGTGATATATATTTTGTTGTTTTCACATACTTGTGAGGATCCAAATAAATAGATTTTCCAGATGAGGAGGAAGCTGTTGTGACGAAGAGACTCACCTCTGGGCAGCACGTTCCACGCAATGGTGTCGGTGATGGCAGTGAAGATCCAGTTGAGCTCTCCGAGGGGCGTGCGTCTGTCGTTGAGCCTGCCAGGGATCCTGCAACACAACACAGATGGCACTGTGTCAGCCGCGCACACCGCATGTCACAGGGTTTACTCAGAGCAAAAAAGGAGCAACTGTTCTGCACTATTACAACACCATGTGAAGAAATTAACATTCGAAAGCACCAAGTTTCTTACTCAGAGATTAGCAGCTGAATATTCATGTGTTTTTGTGCCTCGGAGCCGCAGTAGGCTGAGATCAGACTGACACCGGGAACAAACACAAAGTAAGTCCAGCCTCTCTTTGATCATGTTTGAGATCTACAAGATAAGATATTTTAAGAGGCAGCTATATTGCAGCAATGTCAGCTAGGATGTCTTTACAAAGTGAGCTGCATGAAAACAAATCTGTGTTCTGATTTGACTTGACAAGATGTCTCAGTAGTAAAATATTTACACAGCTGGCCATCTCCTGCTGATCCGAGTAGCACTTTCTCTAAACGTCATAAGACACTATCAGATTAGACAGGAATCACTTTTAAAAACTTTTTCCCCTAGATTTCTTCTGTTTTATTTTGTTCCTTTTCTTGTTGAATTTTCAAATCAATCTAACTTTAATGTCAAAACCTGGTTCAGTTTCAGCATCCACCAAAAAAATATCTCAACGTGAACTGGGAAAAAAGTCGATTTCTAAGCTCTTGAGCTCTCCATGAGCAACAGCAGAAGCCACTATCCATTAAGGGAGAAAACAGGGAACAGAGATGAACTTTCCCATGAGTGGCCGGTTCAGGAAAATTAATCCATATGTGAATCAATGACTCATCCAAGAGGTCAGTAAAAAACCCCTACAGACCTTATGTGTCACAGTTAAGGTCAGATTTTATATTAAAAAACAAGAGACTGGGCAACATGACATCATGAGAGACTTTTAAGGGGAAAAAGTATGAATATTGTTAAATCTGGTATAAAACTAAAAGTTTCAGAAAAAAAAAAGTCCTACATAATAGTTAAGTACAGTGGTGGTAGTGTGATCACCTGCAATAATCCAACGCTCACCAGCAATTTCTTGTCTAAAAGTCCCAACACAAACAAATTTAAAAACTCTTGAATCTTAAGACACAGATTTTTGTAAATGCAACTGCTATTTGTACTGAAGAAAGCAACGTCACAAAAAAGAAGCTATGAAGTTTTTCATCAGTCTTCTTGTTTGTATCTTTCAGATCTAAAAGAACCAAGATGAAAACAAATACAACTTGAAGTCAATAAAAGCTGACATCAGGTTTGTAACCTCCTCTTCTTACCAGCATTCTGGGCTTTTGCCATCAAAAAAAGGGAATTTGTCAAGATGCAAAACATATTTTTTACATATAAATTTCTCATTTCTCTTTAAATAATTTGAATATTTGTGATTGTGTGCATCCATTTTTACTCCCAGTTAAAGGTGACAGTCTGAGAATGGTGAATCAATCAGTCACTTCACAAAACAAAAAAATAAGTTCTTTAGGTTTAGCATAAAATCTTAATAGTCTTCGTACAACCTTTAACTGTTTCCATTCAGATTTCGCCACAAACTGTCATTTCCAAAACATTTATCATCATCATTAGATTCCACACTGGAGCACAGGCATACTCACTTTCCCTTTCTCAATAATACATTACAACTCAAGTCATTTATCACCCTCCACCCAATTTTGTATAAATGTGCAACGAGGCTGAACTTTTTTTGACCCAAGCCCTCAATTTCTACCTCTAAGTGACAAATAATAGCAGCTGTAAGGCTCCTGGCACTACCAGCCCTCTGTATAACGATGAGGGCCGGCCAACTCCTGAACACTTTGAGTGCCTGCCAAAGGTGTTTGAAAAGTCAGCAGTCAGGATGAACACTCAGCAGTTCCCATCTTCACTGATTATTCTCTGTTATACATTTGAGGGGGGGAAAAAGAGAGGCAAGCGGTGGATGGGTGAAGAAACAGATAGATGAATCACTGAATGGGTAAAAATGCCCTCTGAGATGTTGAGGCTTGTCCCATCAATCAAAGTTTGGGTAAGTTTTGTCCATCTCTTGCTCTCCACATTAAGTTAGGATTTATCACCCCAATTTAGTTTCCCCCAATGCTCACATCTATGAGAGTGTCTCCAGTTCTAAATAAATGAAAGAGAACAACAAAGAAAGTGCTGACATTATTTTGACCCTTTAAAACTTTTTCGAAGTTCTTTATGATGCATCTAGCGGGGAACAAAGAGGCATTGACCTTAAAAGGTGCAAGACACCAAGACTTGCACCTTGAAATGAAGATGTGAATGTGAGGTGTCAGCTTAGACAGTTGTAGGAAATTAAAATGCTGGTTTAAACTTTGAGTGTTTTGCTTTGATTCAAACAGTAAAAGTGAACTATGAGTCGCAACACAACTCTCTCATACTGATTAATAAAATATTTAGACATTTAAAAGCTCTCAACAGAATATTCACATAAAAAGGAGCTAACAGAGATCCTGTTTTTAAATTGATTAATTTTTGCAACATACATTAAATACAATGAAATCAAAGCTCACATTTAAAAGGCTGTATTGACAGCATGAACATCATGTTGATTCTGGATTACAAAGCTTTAAAATGAAAAAAGAAGTCATCTTTTTTAATGGTTTTGTGGACCACGAGTCTGTCGAAGATATGAATCGTCATTAATCATCTCAACAATCCCTCGTCAAGCCGACAAGTTTATTCTCTATAATTTGAAAGAGTTCATATTGGTGGCTCATGATTCTGAAGGTACTGCAGACCACGTGACACTCGAGTTTATAAATACATCAGTATATAACACAGTGGACGTAAACAAGCTCAGAAGGCTCTGCACAAAAGAGGAAAAAGCTCCTCGAAAAATATAAAAACATCTCTGCCACCTTGAGGGAATGGCTTGTTCTTGACAAAATAGCAAATGAAAGAAGTATTTCATTACCGGATCGATGCAGCATTTCCACTGTGTTGAAAGCAGAGCTATAAGAGAGACATGATTCCAGAAACCTGCTAATTACTAAAGTTCAGCAGGTTGGATGAAAAGTCTTATAGTGAAAGGCACAGGGAAAGACTTAATATGGATCATCCCACATCAGTTGCTTCAACACCCCCCTTTGAGACGAGCGAGAGGGGGTGAGCAGGTAAAATCCACATGCCCTGTGCTTCGTGACTCCATTATGTAAAAAGGCTCCTGTGACTGGATCCAACCAGAATGTGAGTTGGATGAACGTGGGAAGAAAGGAGACAGAAGGGTGCACAGATGGAGTGAAGACCGAAGAATGATCAAATTAATAAACAAATCATCAACATGCGACTATTCAAAGTTGCCATGATACTGAATTTGTTTCACAAAAAATGATTGTAACAAAGACGATGAGTGTTTCAGGCCATTTCTGTCCACGTGTAACCTTTAAAGATGAGCAAAATGAGTGGATGCTGAGTGTAACGGCTGGCTGCTGAGCCATGCTCAGACTGGTGTTGAATAAGAACAATATGGAAAATGGAAGAGGGAAAAAGTTGTTTGATCTACCAATTACATAACACGTACATGCACATAACACGTGCAGAAACAAGCTGCCTAGTCTCTTTGTCTTTAAGCCAGTGAAGTAATTAGGTGTAGGTGTAAATTTCCAAACTTTACGTAAAAAGTTTGAACTCACTTAATGCGAGTTCAACCAGTTTTCCAAGCAAGGGGTTCAAGTTTGTTTTTAGGAAGTTGCGTGACAGTGGAGGCACCAACAGCTGAGTTTTTAAGGCAGTGTCTGTCTGTCATCCTTTCAGCACTTTCCTCCATGGGGCTGCCATGAAACAGTAGCCACACAACTGAGTGGACATAGACTTGACAGAGGTTGTTCTTGTGGTAACAATGCAAGAACAAAACTACCAGTTTTGGTATGGCTGAAAAGGCATACCCAAATTAAATCAGCTGCTGTTCCTGAACAATTTGGAGTCCGTGTAAAAGCTTTGCCTCTTTAAGATGACAAGCAAAATTTTCTATTTTTTCAGTCAAACATACTTTAGCTATAAGTAGTTTGTGGCTATTACGTTTGTAACACACAAAAAATTGATAAATGTTGCTTGCTTCACTCAGATTTTTCATTTTTATTTCTTGCAAATTCACATTGAGTGTTGAATATATGAATTGGAAAATGCAATAAATCTGTAGAATAAAGTATTCTGCTTGTGGATTTCAAGACTGATCAAGATAGCACAAAAAGAAATCTCATTTTGGCCATATTTATTTTTGAGGACAGGTGTTGTACATGTACAGAAGTCTCCATTTGGCATCTCGAAATGGCACATGTTTGGACAACACCTGATATACAAACTTCAAATGACTAACTCCTCAATGCTTCAATACACAGTCATCAACGAGGCTCTAATGACAGATAATGACCAGAGAAATCCTCAGATAGACACATTATTACTGATAGTGGAAATTATCACTACTCCTCCAGCCCCACCCTAGTGGTAGGATGACCTCGCCCTCCTCCTCCTTTTTAGCTTTTTACTGTACTTAAATATTGAATTGTCATGGTCATAATTAAAAATACATCCAGTATTCTTAAACAAAATATTAGTCCATCTACATCCGCCACAATTTAGAGGAACAGGCACATCGATTAGAGATAAAATTGAGGGAAAGAAAGTCAAAACAATCAACAAAATGATTCAAAACCTGCAAAAAGGCAAAAGAGGTGAACATTAAGTATCACATCAAAGGGTCCTCACTCTGGTGCGGAAACATCAGATTATCTGGATTATGATTAAGTCAAGTAATGAAGTGTTTTTGTCTCCTCTTTGATTTTGAGGCTCAGTTTTAATCAAAGAGCTGGCACAACTCTAGAGAGTTCAGGTGAGATGAGCTTGGTCCCATTTTTCTTTTATGAGCTCTGAGGATATCCATTATTTAACTAAGGTGGATATTGGCTGACTCAACATTTAAACCCCCCGTGCAACACATAGGACATGCAATCAACCAGAACAGCACATTTCAGCCACAGTGGTCCTACTCTGCTGAGACTTCAAGACAGACAAGTTAGAATCCCTTCTACAAAAATTGATTACACACACACACACACACATATATATATATACATATGCCTGTTGCTTAAAGACCCTTTAAGCAACTGTTAAAGATTACTTATATTTACAACTACTTATAACTCTGCAAGAAAGAAGCAAGTCCACAAAAGTGAACAAATTCTCAAGTAAACTACTTTTAACAGACACAGTGAGTCAAAAGCTGTGTATGAGGTTAAAGTGTTTTATTTATAGTTAAATAGGGGAAGACCACAAAATATATATGATGAAGAACAAACTAACAAAAAAAAAACAAAAAAAACGCTGGCATAAGACACTGTGACATTTCTGGGTGTTTGAACTGTTCTTACAGCCACCAGGTAAAATGTTATTGTTCCTGTAGTCCACAGGAAGATTCAGAGGAGACAGGAGATGGAAGATAAAAAGGACATGAGAGCACAAAGCATAAAGGGAGAGCTTCTGTGTCATCAAAATCCACCAACTAATGTCAGAATGGTTGAGAAGAAAGAATATACGAGTGAAATTTTTTTATACTTGTTCAAAGGTGCTCATCCCTTCTCTGGCACATGCCCATCCTGCCTTTGGGAGTCATTCAGCTTCAGTTCTTCTGCACTACAGCATTTTCTGCTCAACATCCATCAACTGCAGAGTGGTCATGTTTGATAGGAGATGAAAAAAAGCAATGACGATGTGTACAAATAACATCAGAAGAAAACTAAAAGGAAAGATCTCAGTCAAGCGAGAAAAAGCTTGGAAAACTACATGTTTGAATTATGAATAATTCTCATTAATAGTTTAGAAAAAAGGGAGACGTGTCCTATTTATTTAACATCCAGGAATACCTCACAATGCAACTGTGAGTAAATGCAATGATATTTCTAGAAGATAGTTTCTGCAATATGATGAAGTCCAACATAATTATGAGGTGGATAATAAGGCTCACTAACTAAAACAGTAAGACAATGAATTCTTAAATGAGCAAGCCCATAATAACATCACCACAATGTGTAATTATGCAACTTTTTAAAATAAAAATCTCTACCAAACATTTTCACTTGTTACCTTGTTTACCTTCAAACGTGAACAGGACTGACATCCCCATCTCTATAAGGGTTATCGCTGCACCCTTGGCAGCTTTAATTCTTCTCTGAAGGCTTTCCACAACATTTAGGGTTGTTTATCCGACCAGTTTTCAGAAGGCATTTTGTAAGCTCATACACCAATTCTAGAAAAGAAGGACTGATCTAATTTACTTCACATGTGCTCTACCAGGTAAGGGAGGCCAATAAATTTCTTTGAGACCAAACTCATCCATATTTTTATAAACCTCCATTTGTACAGTGAGCAGTCATCTTGGAAGAGTATGAGATCACATGCAAACTGTTTCCACAAAGTTGGGAGCCTGAACTTACCCAAAATCTCTCTTAATGGTGTGACATTAAGGTTGCGTTCAAACATCATGCAAGGACTACAAATCTGATTTTCTCACAAAAGACTGAATGGCCCAATTCCAATCTTTTCACACCACTCTCATGCCCCTCAAAAAATCTCATCTGTGCGACTTCCATATGCGGTATTGAATTGAATACATATCTGATTGTTTTCAAAGCATCTGCTGTCTGAATGTTCATGTCCATTTTAGCAGACCTTTATGTCACTAACAAGTGTCATAATTCTGCACCCAAAGAAGCCAGACAACGATTGATTTTTTTTATGAATGCAGAAGTGAAGCAGATCACATCACAATCCCACCACTTCTGGTTGAACGTTGCATACAAACAGACTTCTCTACACAAGTTCCAGGCAATGCTCCACAAAAGGCTATTTCTGTTGGTGGTTCTTTCTTTTTATTAGCTTCCTTCGTCTTCTTATGATCTTTAGAAAAGATCCTATTACTGAACAACTCTAGTGTTAATCCACACACGGCTGCATTCATTATTACTTCCATAAAAAGTGCACTGCTGTGACGTCATTGTTCTTCTGCAGGTCTCTTTGGGGTCATCAACAGCTCACACCAAAGACTCACTGCCATTGCATCAATAACAGATTTCAGCAAAAAAAAAAAAAAAAAACATAAAGACCTGCTTTGTAAATGTAGCGTAAGAGTTTCTTTCAATGCAACAAAAGGGCCGACCCCCAAAAATCTGCCCCACAATGACTCATTTTGCACCAAACTTAATATGACACAATGCACAAAAAAATAAAGTATCTGGTTGTAAATGCTTATTTGTGTTCTCATTGTGGTAAGAAATATAATAATGAGTTTATACATCAGCCTCAATGACTCACATTCAAGCTGCAGCTGTTCTTCAGGACAGAAGGAGCTCAGCAAGGAAAAGCAGGTGTTTGTGGGACTATTGGCATCAGCTTATTCAACATTTGTTTTGATTTTTATTTTCTAATCAATTGAAAAAAGATGTTCAGTTGGGAGGAAAGACTTGTAGGAAGTTCCACGCATAAGCCTGCTGCTGTCAATTACACATAAAAGGAAGTAACAGAAGCTTCACTGAGAGGAGGAAGAAACCGATTCTGCTATTCAGGAGATGTGGTACGCATCAAATCTAACTAAAATAACAAAATGAATGGTGTTTTCAAATTCTGTGCATAATTTTATGAGTAGATAGATTTTTGAGTGTGCATTCCTCACCAGATTTTTCTTGCTGGTCCGTGGCAGACTGTTGTCACGGTTATTATTCAAATTCGATAAACTTAGTGTGACAAATAAACATCATTAGGAGACTGCTGAGATGCCCTTCAAGTTCAACTCCCTCAGGCATTTACAGACCATTCTTTTTCACCAAGCCACAAACGTTTTCTTAAAAAAATAAGTCAACCATCAAAATATATAAATGTCATTTCAGCTTCTCCAGAAAGCTGAGGTGGGTATCTACAGACAGTTCAGTGAAAACAGCAAAACTTTGGTTATACTGAGAGCTGGCATCAATCTCAGGATGGTGTGCCTGAGAGCAGGAGATGATCCACGTTCAGTCGCTCTACACCCGGAGGTTAATTCAGCAAATTTAAAGCTTTAAATCTGCCAAAGTGCTGCCACTTTGACAGTGAGAGGGAAACAAAGGCTTAGGATTATACCTTCAGGATGGAAAACAACAGAGAGAGGGAGGCAAGGCGAGGAAAGACAGGCAGGAAAGGGAAACTGGATAATGATGTCTCCAGACCATGCCCTGCTGACAATAAGAGGGAAAATTGTTGTGCGCTCTTACTTACTTCTCAATGAGGTCTAACGTCACCCCTGGCACCAACTTGGCACTCTTTTGCATACAGAACCTGGACGAAAACAGAAGGGAGATGTTACTAATCGAGGTTAAAGAAAAAAAACAAGAGATGCTAGATGATGCAATGAAACGTTTGGCTTCAATGGTGCAAATTTTACAACCCACATGAGAGTCAATCAATAAATAACCCTCAAATGAAAAATGAGGGCCGCAAAAATTGCAAGCATCGAGGATTGAGAGGTACGAGTGTATTTTGGCTGTTATAGTCGAGAAGGAGGGGACAGTCAGTGGGAAACATCGGCTCGTATTTCTGAGACGTCTGCCATGGGGGATGTTGTTTACTATGCCTGGTTAGGTCTGACAGGTCGGGCCAGATGTAAGTCACAGCCGGCTGCGGTTCAGAGTCCTGACAGTCGCACAGATCGCTAGGAGTCATCACACACCTGGAGAAGAGCAGGTGTGTGTGCTTTTGTACACAGAGTGAGCAGAGAGCAGATGTGGGAAAGATTACATGTTACACTTTTATAAAAATAACATGACTGAATATTTTGGACAGTTAACTTAGAGCGTTACATCATGTTATAACGTAATTCACTCACAAAACACAAACTTGAAGTGTTGCTTTGACTTATTCAAGCATGTTTGAGATGTCCTTGCAGCCATTCCAGGGGTGCCTAAACGCTTGCTTGCACAAACCGGCACCTTTTTCCCTCAAAATTGATCAGGCTTCTGCCTCTCCTATCGCCCTCATTCCCCCATGCAGAATTAGCAAACACCTGGTGAAACTGAGCATTTGCTGCGCTTATAATACAAACTACAGTGCTCTTTTAAACTGTATCAGTGGATGGCATGGAGGAGCATTGTTGTGATGACAGACTAACTAGAGTCTCAGAAAGGTTGAGAGGTTCTTAAAGAGACAGAGACCAATTTCCTGCCAAGAGCAGGAAAGATGTGATCGCAACAATTTGTCCGATAGTCTGTAGTTAAAAGCACCTTGATGCTGTGTTGCTATTGTCCATATAATTGTGTAAATTTGAACTGCTAAAATAAATTTGCTTAATGGGAACACAGAAATTTTGAAAACAATGTTTTTGATACAGTTTTTATGCTACAATGAGGTGATTTTTCAGCTGTATGAAAATTTGTGTATTTCACTAAACTCCAATGGAAACATGAGTTGTGATCAAAGATCAGATGTTACTACAACGAGAAACGATGAAGATGACAGGAAGTGGGAGGAGGATCATGGTGTGGCATGTTTTTTTTATAATTTATTGCATAAACTAATTCATTTCCATATAATTTAATTGCATTTTTTATTTAATGGAAACACTACAATTGAAAAATTTTATTTTTTTTCCTACATTAGCAGACTAGCAAAAAATCTTTGCATGCATTTGTAATGGAAACACGGCTATTGCTGTCAAGTTGTATTTCTTTTAAATTGTTTTTATTATAATGGCATATGAAGTTAATATAATTACCTATAGAATGGCATGATGTGCCTGGAAAATTCAAAATACTGCCTATTTAAACATCGACTTAACAAGTGACAGTATCATAAAATGTAAAGGCAAAAAAATAAAAAATACAAAAACAATGTCTTTTTTTCTTTTCCTTAAAAATATTGAATTAGTATTCAAAAGCCTATAAAAGGACTTTTGATCCAGAAGCTGAAATCATCACATTTTGGTTGTTTACAGTTTATTCCATGTCTGCCAAAAACTGTACAAGTGTGTTTCACAGCATCATCACAAAAAAAATAAAAAGTCTATTAGAAGGACAGAGCAAATGCCGAATGATTGCTAATACAGTTGGAAGACACTCAAAACAGAGCCTTCTGTGGTATCTCAATAGAGAGCAGAAGATATTAAAAAACCTACATGTAAATAAGGCAAAAATAAATTACAAAAAAATACATGTAGCCATGTAAAAACAAAAATGAGATGTGGAATATACATCAATACCATCCAGATGTGTGATTTATGACTTCTACAGTAAGTTTTTTTTTTTTTTTATCTGAAAATCAAACATATCTTCAAAGGAACTGACAAGGGACAAGAGATATTTGAGGGCAATTTTTGCTCCTGTTATAATGGTAGAAAAAAAAACTCAGCATATAAAGTCAAAGCTGCATCTTACTTTTATAGACAGCTCTCAGATCCCTAATTCTAAATAATTTCTTTATGAAAATGAGTGATTCTAGTTTGCTGAGCAGAATCCCAAGCTGCCGTCATCTTCGGACGCATATCTGAATGTCAAACTGACTCACGAATGCCCAAAAACAATGAATCCAGGATCTGATCCACTCTGACTGGCTGTGACGAAAGCTGCTGCACTTGAATTCCTTCTGTTCCTGAAGAATAATGAGTTCCCACATGACAGCAGCACGACTTTCTGACTCTTCAAAGATCAGCCGGGGTCTTGAGTGAGTCTGACACTCCTGAAGCCAAGAGCAGGAAAGATGTGATCGCAACAACTTGTTCTATGGTCTCTGGTTAAAAGCATCTTAATTAAAAGTCACAACATGCACAATCTGGTCTAATAAAAACTACCACAGAGAAGTAATATCAGTTCCCACAAACATATGTCTATAATCTTTTTGCTACAGGGATATTATAGCTCAAGATTAAAGGGTTTGTTTATGCTTTTCTATGTTTTGGCGCAAAACAAAATTTATAAGTCTCCACAGATAAAGAACAGATGATGGAGAATTAAGACAAGACAAAAATAGACAGGCTGACGTTACAAATCACAAAAATTAAGTTTTTGTCCGGGAGTTGGAATCAAATTTCTGTGCGGCAAGACGTCAGAATCTTTCCACAAAAGACGACAGGAGAGAAAAAAAGGAGAAAGACCCCGAGATGGGAGGTCAGAAGCAATCGGTGGCATTTCATCCATTCATACCATATCATAATTTTGATCCATAAACTGACTTTATCCTGGCTTTATGAAAAGCCATGTTTGTCCTCACCTATGATCAAAGGCAGTCTCTGACATTCTAGGCACGCACTATGATCAGAGCAAAGTCATTCAACTCAGCTGTTTGAGCTTCAGCTCTCCTGTCTTTGCTCGCTGTGATATCAAAATTAGAAAAAAACAATTCGGCACAATGCAGTTAGCATTTAGTTATGAGATTCAGGAATTAAAAAGAAGCACAAACAGAGGTACACAGTGAGTGAAAATGTTGCCTAACAACAGCAACAAAAGACAATATTTAGTCCACAAAGCTTCAGGGAAATTTAACAAACATTTTCTAAAGTAGCTCAACTGAACTATTGACATAACACGTATAAAAAGGTGCATCAGGTGAGAGAGCCTTTTAAATGTCTCATACCTTCTACGATATTGTATTGAAAATACATGTAACTCACCTTTATACTACGTGCACTCAAGCAGCATTTCTTAAAATTGGCATTTATTAAAAGTATATTAAAAGTCCTTGGCAAAGTCACTTTGCATGAAGGTACTAACAAAACCCCAGCAAAAACCAAAACAAAGGCTAACAGTGAAGTTCTTTCAAGCTCGATCTTGGCTGATCATTCACCTGCTTCTGCAGAAAAAAACAATATAGCCAAACTAGCTTAGTGTTAAAGTCAGTTCTAAAGTAGTCTTACAATGCAACCACTTTGTTTTTGCTGCTATGCGAACTATTGTTTAATCCGTCCTCCGCTGTTTTCTGAGTCACTGTAGAGGTTGATTGCTCCAGAAGAAAGTTTAACTATTCAAATAATTTTGTGCATCGCATCATTGTGGATAGATCACCAGCTTGGTTTACTGATCCCGTTTCAAATTACAGTCAGTGTCTGTGAGCGCTTAATCCTGACCTGCTGAGATCTGATCAGTACCAACAGAGTTGTAAAAAGGGATTTATTTTGAGAAGGATTTATTTACTGCACCTGACAATACAAAAGAGACCAACGGGAAACAGAGTTGGAAATGTTTATAGATCCCATGGAAAGTGACACCAGAAAACATTGAGATGCTACAACATGGAAGGCATTATATCTTGTATCAACGAGTCAGGCTAGTGGCATCTGATGATGTGGGAATAATTTTCTTGTCACTGTGTGGGGTCCTTAAAGCTGAAGTAGGTAACTTTTACAATAAAAAAATAAAAAATAAAAAATAAATTGTAGTTCGTGCAAACTACATTTCTACTGCTATTTGCAGAAATGCACCACTCTTTCACAAACAACTTATCAGAGCCAGGAGGAAGGTCGTAGTCAAGCTCACGTACATGCTGCAGATGTGATTAAGTTGTGAAGAAATAACTTAATCTTAGAGAAAAACTGTTTATCTGCCATTATTATTGCCCATGCTTACTAGCCTGCACATTCACGGTAGGCTCTGCTGCCGGAAAGAGCTTTAATACAGCAGAAAGCAAGGGAGATGATGTGAGCAGTGCATACACAATGGTGATTGACAGCACTAAGACCCTCTTCCTGAATCTGATTGGTTGTTTCTGGTGTATTTGTGCAGATAACAGTGGGGCCTTGAGAGAAGGCAGACGAGTTTGAGTTTTTCACAGTTTATTGTCTAATGTCACAATAAAGACAGTTTTACAAAAATGTTGGAAGATAATTTTGATGAAACTTACCTAATGCAGCTTTAACAGCATCGCATGGTACCAAAGTGCATGCTACGACAAACAAAAGCTGGAAATATAGGACAGATCAAAGCCAATAAAACACCCAAAAAAGAGGCGTCGAGTTTTACTGATACCAGTCTTCCTCTGACCGGTATGGTGTGTTGAGAAGAAAACACACAAAAAAATGAGCCGGCTGAAGAACAGAAGGGCTGCTGGGCACAAATAATGAGGAAATTGAAGGATTATTACAGACGGAGAGCAAAGATGGCTGAACTTAATTTGGACTGGTGAATAAAGGCTGAGCAAATGTGTGGGCGATAAGTGCAGAGGCGAGAAAGTGAGCATGTACATATTAAATTTTGAAGAGGGAAATTAAGTGGACCCAATGTGAGGTAACTACAATACTGCTCCCAGGGTGAGAGACGGGAGAGGAGGAGTGGGAGGGACAGTGTCTCCTCTGG